CCTCAGGGAGTTAAAATAATCAAAATGAAAAAAATACCTAAGTTTGAAATGGAATTTACTGTAATATTATGAATAATAAAGAATATTATACATACATACATACATTATAACCTCCAGCAACTAGCTCATCCTTTAGTGTAAAAGCATAATTTAAATTTTACTCAATTCAAAATAAATGGTATGTATTTTTACTGACACGTAAGAATTGAAGAACAAATTTGATGGAATTTTTTATACAGAATTTTATAAACCTGTACTAATATTATTACATTATTCCATCCATCCATAATATTTCTAAATAAATGCCATAATACTTTAGTTTTCACCCTCAACTTCATCCTAATTGGTAAACAATCAAACAAGGCCTCTCGCGTGACTCGATTTCAATGACTTTGTTAGAAGCGTAAACAGTTTATCTCTTTTAATATCAATTTAATATCTTTATTAACTTAGCTTTATTTTTTTTTCTACCTGGCAATTTCCCAGCTATAGCCAGGGTCTGCCTTACATGTTGTGATAAGATTTGGCTAATTGTTTTTACGACCGGCCGCCTGCCTGACATCAATCCTCTTTGGGAATACTTAATATCACTTATCTTTATGTTTTAATTTAATAAATCATTACGAACTATTTTATACGCTTAAGTGTTTTATTACAATTATAATAGAATTCTTTTATTTTTTTAGTTTTTAATATAATAATTATAACAGTTGAAGTCGTGGTGGCCTAGTGATTAAAGGCCCGCCTGTCACGCATAAGGGCGCGGGTTCGAAGCTTGGCAAGCACCAATGTGATTTCTCCGAGTCATATGTACTTTCTAAGAGTATTTAGACACCACTGATAGACGGTGACGGAAAACGTAGTGAGGAAACTGGGATTTATAATTTCAAATTATAAGTTTGAAATCGCCAACCCGTCTTGAGCAAGCGTGGTGATTAATGCTGAAATCTTCTCCATGAGAAAAGATGCTTTTGCTCAGCAGTGGACTCTGATAAGCTGATGATTATGATGACGACGATGGTGATGATGAATGAAAGTACCTATATTTGCATATAATAGATAAGTTTTTGTGTGTTTTACTTAATATATCATTTTATATACATCATAAATGTTATAATACATAAACAGCGAATGTCAAAGGCAGCTCCATTACAACAATACAACCAAAATTACGATTCCAGTGTAAATACAATGTTTAATGAACATCACACAAACAGTATTCCTACTGGATATCAAATTAACACTGTTTATATTTCTCATATTCAACCGTTTTCGATCACAAAACTGAATTTTGTGATACTCGTGTTATTTGTAGCCTTGTTTCTAGAAATAATACGAATCAATTTCTGATAACATTATTCCCATTAATAAAGAATATTTTATCTTATATTTATTATTTTGTTTTGTATTTGCATTATGTATAATAAAAATTTATGAAGTGAATTTGGGAACTTAAAAGTACCTAACAAAAACCAAGGACACTGCAATATTTTCGCTAGAACTTTATTTAATGAGAGATTTAAATATTAATTATCGAAATATTCAATTCGTATTTATAATATAATAATTAAACAAGGAAGTAAAAGTGATAGATTTTTTTTTATATTTTTCTATAAAGAATATTCCGTTTGTCAGCACAGAAAAGTAAAGGAAGGGAAATCATAGAACTAAACCTCACTGAAGTAATAATAAAGTGCAAAGAATATAAATAATTACTATATAAATCAACGTATTTCAGATAAAGTAACTGTGAGATTGTGCAACCAGAATCTAAGTAAACTGAGGTTCGCTGAAATTGGAATTCAATAAGACTTTTATATTGGCGGCTATATCATCAAGCGCTATGAAAAATTACTTTAAAAAGAAGCTTCGTTTTATTTAGTGAAACAATCTGATATTTTCTCGCTTTTTTCACATTCAATTAAATATATCGCAAAATACATTTGTTTAAGTAATCACATATGTATAGTATTTATATAACTTAAAACTAAAGTTTCTTCAGTCATAATTTTTATTAATTAAAGTAATTTATTTGGTTATTATAACTCAAAGAAACACGTAATGATATTATTGTAAAGTTTAAAACATCATTTTAATACCGAATTGTAAGCAAAATTCGTCTTATCTTTACGGAAAACTTGTTCGCGTTAGAGCGTAACACAAAGATTTCTTTGTTGTGAAGTTACCCACTCTTTGATGTCATACTAATTAGTAAAATTTTACTCAAATATACGCAAATAAATTTGTTTGTAACACAATATTAATCTGACTTGGTAATTGACATGATTTTTTTTATTGATAAATGCGTTACGTACGCGCTACATATGAAGAAATAAATGAACATCGCCGGGACGACATCGCTGTATGGGTAAAATATCATATAACGAGTGACGCCGCTGACTCCGCGGAACGAACACCAAGTCGTGTGAACCAGAAGATTCCTGATACACACAAGCTGTGGAATGTCATTGTTATCCTAACATCGGTTCAATCATGTAGTCTTAGGTATAGGTTATAAGTTTTAATATGTAATTCGTATTTTAATATACATATAAGTATGTTTCGTAGTTTTTTGGTACCTCCGGTCGTCATTCTTTATAATAAATGTGAGATTCTTATATAAATATTAGAAAAACTTTCAAATTTAACAATGAATTGTAACGCTCATTCTATTATACCAAAATAGTAGTTCCAAAAAATTTCAAACAACTAAAACAGTATCAAAACAACCAAATAGTTTTGGAGTTCGTAAAATACTTGAGCCACTTGCTAAATTCACACGCCATTAGGATATTATCGGAAAAAATAGAATTACGAAAATTTCCATTCGGTAATTCAATAATTTCGATTTATTTTCGAGTCACGTTCCATACCAACGATTTATACTTTTCCTAATACCTATATTCGTAATATTTTTTCACTCTACCTCTACTTTTATATGGTTTTTATAATATTAATTTACACTATGTAGAAATTTTATATAATTTTACTACCGATAGTACCTAAAAGTTATTATAAATCTTTACCATACGGTGGGTTCGATCCTGGCCTAGTCAAGTACCAAGGTGTTTTTTCCTAGTCATATGTACTTTCTAAGAGTATTTAGACATCACTGATTAATGCATTCTCAAATAGGGTTGATGTCAGGCAGGCCCCTGGTCGTAAAAAACAAGTAGCCAAAACTATTCACAACATATAAGACAGATCCTGGCTAAAGCTGGGAAATTGCCAGGTAGAAGAAGATACCATATGGTGGAATCTTCAAACTTTTTTCTTTCCTTTCCCTCATCATAAATTATTAGTTTGTCACATCTCGAATTTTCTCATGTTTTTTTTTGCGTTCTAAATATTTATCCTGTCTTTGATATTTTGCCAGAAATCGAAATTTATAGAAATCATCCATTCATCTAATTATATATATATTTCCAAGAATATCGTTTAATATTATAATTGAAACGATATTAATACTTATTCTATGAAACATATTATGACAGTATTATTTAGTGAACAAAAATATAGCTCCAAAAAATATTACACAACTATTTATATTCGTAGATAAGCAGAGATGAAATATATATGATAAATCCAAATTGCGGTTGAAGCAGGGAAGTGAGATGAGGCGTGATAAGATAAAGGTTGTTAGCATATTGGTATAAACTTATTATAATATGAATATCAATATAAAAAACAATATTATATCCAAATTAAACATTACCATTACTGTAATATCAAAAAAACTTCAATATTATTTGAATTCGTCTTTCAAATGTAGTGCTTTTCATTAAATTATACCAACCGCCAATTACATACGACCCAATTAATTGTAACGGTAAATTAACCTAATTATTTATTTTTATAATCACCCAATATACTTACACGACATTCCTTTAACATACACACACTAACAATAACTACATTTTACAAATGTACAAATAGAAATTAAAATAAAATTTTTTCACTCGCAATAACAAATCTTGCGATAATTATACACGTTTGTACATACACACTATGAATCACGATGGCAATAACAAAACACTGTCATATAACAAAAATTATTTTTGCTATTCATTCATTTCATGAAACACAATATGTTATTTAATCACTAGCAAGCTATCAGAACAGCGTAACGACGCTACGAAATACAACGAAGCACTGACGTAGCCGTAGCAAGTTGGAGCGAAAGCTTTGCGCAAAGTACCATAAGCCATCCTACCTTTAATCATTATCGACCTTATCACATAGGTAATAAAGTTAAATTTCCTTTGTAAATTTATGTATAGATCAAAAACCTAAATGCTCATGTGTGTGTTAACAATGAAGGCATGCGTACGTTGTTTTAAAGTAATTACCATGTGACCCACACAGGGTTAATTCTAAAATGTTTATTACTTTTAATGGATTTATTTATTTGGTGACTTCCAAATAAGTGTATTGTAAGGATAATTAGGGTTTATTTTCTACATTTAGAAGGGAAACCTCACAAATATAAAAGTGTAGGTAGTTTGTAAGACAAGGCATTTGTGGTTTAGCTTTCGTACTTAAAGCTTCTCGTTGTAAAATATCGGCTATTTACAGTGAGCAGTTTTTCAATGTATCTACATTCGATTGATTAATATTATGTGAGTAATGCCTGTTTATTAATTACGAATATTGATTACTATTATGTTTTCTTAATTTTAAAGTTAAATTCATAATATGTATATCAATAAATAACTATAATTTGCATTAGTATATTGTTTTATAGTAAAATTTTTCTTCTAAATCAAAAATATTATTTATATCAAATTGATCTTCTATACTGCTATCAAATATAACAAAATCACCTAAATTTATTATGTAGTTTTTGGATAAAAGGCATACGCAAAATAAAATAAAAACCATATAAATATAACACGTATATAATATTACTTTAATAAGAGTAAAATGAATACCATATAGGCGACTTAATAAACATAGTGAATACAAAATTCATAAGCTATTAAACATAGCATAATATATTACTATTTTAATTTTGTTTCATAATATCTAGAGATATATTTTCCTACAACCACCATAGGTCTTTCCTGAAACTCTGCTAACTTAGAATTGCTTGAAGTCACCTGAAAATACATACATCTTATAAGTCATTATACCTTCAAGACTTAATAGAAATAGTTGTTATAAAAATAATAATTGCTATTTGTACATAATTTATATTTTTTAAGTTTATTTTTTTTATTTCAAAGAAAACCTTATTTATTTATTTGTTTTATTATAATAGGTATGTTTAATATATTGTCACTATAGTCTTTTGTTTTGTATAACAAGAAATAGTTTTTCAAATAAAGATTATTTTATGTTTTATTTAATGTAAACGATTGATAAAAATCGTTGCTTTAGTATAATATATTGAAAGAAAAAAACAATATCTTAACTTCAGTCAATATCGATGTTTAGTTTTTTTTTATTCATATTATATTATACATATACCATCTACGCCTCTAAGATGACTTATAATTTCATATACGAATACAGGAAACTTTTTTTCTAACAAGAATGTAAAGCTACTCAAACAAACATTTGTCTAACTTCGTTAAATTAAACCTTAGCTATATATTTATTTTATTTATTGAAAATCCCATCAAAAAGAAGCAACATATCATATACAATACAAAAATTAAATGACCAATGCATCTATATATACAGGGTGACTGGTGAATTACTATCAATATTTAAGGAGAATACTCGGTACATGATTCTCATTCGAATTATGTAAAAAAAATAGGTACTTAATTTTTGACCAAATTTCCGTATCAATAAATAGAGTGTGGATACGTTCCAAGTGTTCCAAGTGTGGACGCGTGCGGCCGCGTGCTGATACAACACCACGCCGCCGTGCGCGAGTGTGTGTGTGTGTGTGAGTATACCTTATCTGTAGGGTGTTCACACGATGCGTAATTAATTACATAACTTTTGGTTAACTTTACTTAGAAGTTTATTAATATTTATGTTTAATTAATTTTTATTTTGTCATATATGATCGTCAAATATCACGTCCTCAAGTATCGATAGTAATCCACCAGTCACCCTGTATATACTTTATCGTATTCTGTATAGAGATATATTTACCTGATCCCCATTAAGTCTATCGAGGAATGTAACACAAACATCAGCTGCTCTCAAACCAGCCTTGGAAGTTAACGCAGCGAAGGCAGTAGCTTCCATTTCGATATTCCTGACTCCAATATCAATCAACTGGTTCAGGAATGACATTTTATCAGCCTCTGAGTAGTCACAGAAAGGACCGTCCAGTCGTGCTTGACCTGAAAACAATATGGCTTGAAAAATATAATAGTGATATATATAAGGATACTAGCTGACCCGGCAAACGTTTTGGCCTATAAAAAATAGTGGTTGGTGATAAAAATGTTAAAATTTTGGGTTGTATATATTTTTAATGTCACGTTAAAGAAAATTAAATACAAAAAAAATCGTTCAAAAATAAAAAATATATTTGGGTGAACAACCCTTATCATTTAGAAGTATGAAAAATCAATAGTAGCTGATTCTCAGACCTACTAAATACGCATATAAAATTTGCTAAAAATCGATAAAGCCGTTTTGGAGGTAATTAGTGAACATTGAACATTTAACATGGAAATTATATTTATTAGATAATGTACGTATGTGCTTAATTAGAAGAAATTCTAGGTACTTGTAAGTAAGGCATGTATGGAAGACTTTAAGCATTCACATCTCGTCTGTCCGTTATCACGGTTGCTGAAAAGTAACCGAAAAGTCGGAAGTATGTAGTTTTTATATTAATAAAAAACGCTTAGTGCATATAATCCGAAAAATATTAGTTTCATTTATACTTTAAGGATAACTACTTAACAAATAACAATTAAATACCTAGCATAATATATGTAGGCGACAATTAACTAATAATGGTGATGGTTGATAATAACCTGTTCATTTTCACATTTTAATTATTTACTTTTACTTTATAAGCTTATATCGATAACTAAGCAGTCACAAGTCTGCTTATAAAATAAACTAACTACATTTCAATATGGCATTGTAGTCACGGAGATGGGATATAAAATTTTTCCTACAATAATCCAACGTATTTTTTACTTAATAGTAATCTAATTAGAGGATAATTTCTATTTTATTTTCATATAACAATAAATAGTTATATAGAATCATCGAAATGGATTTTCGTAGTTACCTTGGTAATAGTCATCGGCTGCCATCGTGCCACCTATGAAGGTTTCAAACCCCGTTTCCTCTGACGCAAGGAAGTGCAATTCTTGATTAAGACGCTTATCGAAAAACGATGGCAGTTTGTGCACTTTACCCATGATCGGCTGCAAGAAACTTTTAACTTCTATATGTATCTTGGAATATTGGTGAAAAAATTCACAAATATACCATTAACATACTTTTATATTTCTATTCATAGCATAGCATTCAAAACATGGTCTAAATTAGCAAAATAGTCCCAAAATTTACCCTTAAAAAAATCTATATATATTTTCATTACTTACTAAATTATACGACTTTTCCAGGATCCCGTTCAGTGCCCAAGAGGATATGACTACAGATCCCGCTGGTATCTTTAATCCTCCACAAGTACCGATCCTGAAGAAAATGGGGTCTTTGGCTTTAGCGTAAGAAAGCATTTTTATGACTTCCTGCAGAAGTATTGTCATAGAAGGAACTCCAATGCCGTGCTGGAAAAAAATATAATAAGAATTGTCATTCTTCTTCTTCTTCTTCCTGGCAATTTCCCAGCTTTAGCCAGGGTCTGTCATTGTAGAAAATAGTGTCTGCGAAATCTGTTTATTACATTAATTCCTATATCTCAAACCATTAATCAGAATAATGAAAACTTTACTCTTGATCAAGTGGATGGTTACAAGATTAAATAGAATTTAGATAGCATTTAATTGTTTTCAGCAGACTGAGATAACGTAAGCTTTCTTTAATAAAAAAAAACGTTTGAAATTAATTAAAATTTCTTTGAAATTCGGAAACATATTTATGTCACGGGGAGAAATAAGTTTCTTTATTGGAATGAACACAACAATCGTCACTAAACAAAAGGAAACGCTGCAAACAAATTAAAAACTACTATTACTACTTCTATTTAAGACAACAACATTTTTTATCTATGTGTTTTCCCGAGTGCATGCGTGCGTACGAGTTTGTGTGTGTGTGTGTGTGTGTGTGTGTGTGTGTGTGTAAGATATATCTGGGTGTAAATTGTAAATCACTTCCTTTATTATTTAGATCATTATGATACTATTTTCACTTTAGTAAGAGAACGATAAATTGAGTCTCGTATTATATAGCATAAGATAATACTTACATTAACAGACAACACCGGTCCAATTTTATACATGGCATATCTATGGGAATTCTTTGTAATATTAACAAGCCCCTCATTAGGTAGTTGAAGCACATTAGCAATATATACAGCGAAATCCTTCATTCTTTTTTTCGTTCCACCCATACAAACGAACTGCAAAAAAATAATGATATTATTGCTATCGTAAAAGTATATGTAGTTTAAAACTGATTTTTATCCACACCTCATGTGGTGATGTAGCATTCTCTCAGCAGGGAAAAATGTCATATCAGAAAAATACACACATTATAGAACAATTATAAGCAATAAATACACACAAATAAGTCCGTGGTGGCCTAGTGGTTAAGGGGCCCGCCTCTCGTTGCCGAGGGCGCGGGTTCAAACCTGGTAAGTACCAATGTGATTTTTCGGAGTCATATGTACTTTCTGAGAGTATTTAGACATCACTGACATACGGTGAAGGAAAACATCGTGAGGAAACCTGGACTTATAGTTTCACAATTATAAGTTTGAAATCACCAACCCGTCTTGAGCAAGTGTGGTGATTAATGCTCAAACCTTCTCCATGTGAGAAAGAGGCCTTTGCTCAGCAATGGGCGTCTGATAGGCTGATGATGATGATGATGAAATACACACATTCACAGATGCACTGTCACACACACACACACACACACACACACACACACACACACACACCCACACACATATCACCTTATTTTCATTAATGATATTTATTTTCATGCATGTTTATTACACTCACATATTTCCACGTTACGCCGCAAACATAATAGAATAAAAATTCCAAGCACATTGTTGAATCTACGAGGTTGCTAGAAAATATGAGTGATTACATATTCAACTTGTTAAATATATTTAATACTTTGTGAATGATTTAAATTAAAAAAATACAGAAAAAAAATGGTTCTACTTTAGATAATTTAAAAGTATGAATAGGAGTTTCATAATAAAAATTAAGAAAATGATAAAAACGATATCATTAAAATTTTAATAGACATTCATATTGAAGCGTAATTATTAAGGAACTGGGAATTTACGTAACACAGCATTACCAGGTTACCATAAGTTATCAACATACTATATGTAGAGCGTTTAAATACCTTTTCATTCATAAACTTACGTTGATGTTATCATGTAAAAAGATTTATGAATGGAAACATCGCTCTTCGTATGTTTTTTAACGACGCAAACTTATGACGAGGCTACTGAAATTCACACTACTTTTCCTTCAAATTATTTGTCATCCGTAAATAGTACAAAGATTCATATCTGTTTTACTATAAAGACATATCTTTTCCTATGTAAATATGTATCATAATAAAACTGAAATAACAGACAATGAATTTGGTATATAAAAGCCTCCTTCGTTTCCATAAAAAAGTAAGACATAATTACACTTTTCACTCGATAGTAATTGTCGTTAACAATAAAATTTTAGATGTATTTGTCTGTTGATGGACTATAGAATTAAGAAACGAAGAAATGTTTTATTTTCAAGAAAGAAATTAAGGTTTTTAGCTCTATTTCTGGACGTACAAAGATCATTCAGAAATATGGCTGGTGGTGTACTTCTCAGAGACATCTGTAGTCTTTACTCCATACTTCCCTGTTTGAAGTTGATTTTGTGATCTTTTGGTTTACCATTTTCAATGGTGGGTACACTAAATATTCTTCAAATGAAAAGTTCATTGTTGTAATGTTTCCTTTTCAGAAAAAAACGATCAAAAACTATCCACAAAGCAAAAAGTTAACTGGCAATGCTCATAATGAAATTTAAAATCGAATAAGAAATTAAACCCTAAAATTTTTGGAGACCGTTAAAAATATTCATCATACTTTTAAAATATGTATAAACATACAATGATTCAAATGTAGCGATTTTATTTTACTTTAAAAAATGAGTTGGTATTTTTAGCTGCACAAATTAAAAAGAAAAATGATTTTTATAACAATTTTTACAACATAGTTTCTTTCTATGGAAATCTTTATCAAATATCTTCTATAACTATATGTGTATGTAACTAGTTCAGCTTTATTTAATAACAAAGTTGTTAGATCAAAATTAACACATATACAGGGTGACTGGTGAATTACTATACATACTTGAGGACGTGATATTTGACGATCATATATGACAAAATAAAAAATATTTATGTGTCCGAAGAATTCTGTGAAATGCTTTGTTATTTAAACCGGTCGAGTAAAATTTCATAACAATGTTGACATTGTCGCTTACATAAACGTCGAAGTAATTTGATGACTGAAGTTCATTATAATACTCTATTGGGTTTATTCCCACATAACATATTTCTATGTATATAACAAGACATGTTTTTAATGTACTCATTATATTAACTTAAACGTCGATTAAAATCCGTTTAAATGTGAGTCGGACTGAGACTATAAAAACTAGTAAAAAACTTGTCTTTTAAATGAGAGAAAGTAAATATTTATTGCAATTCATTTTAGTATTTTTATTATAGCAGCCACTATAAAACATATGAGAAAATTTCAATCCATGACAGTCAAGGAATCCCAGTAAAAGGGTATCGTTTTACCCTTTGAATAAAATATTAATAATTCAGTAAGGAATTACAATACACTTATTCCACAGACTTAAAGTACGTACTCCTAAGTTATTGTTGAAATCTTTGTGTAACAATTTATTTATTTATCGGAAAACATACAGCTTATATTACAATAAATTATTTCGGTAAGGTAAAACATGATGGATTTTGACATGGAGTGTATCTTACATTAGAAATAATAATAATAACTATAAAACTAAAAATGTTAATATAGGTGTGTTAAACTGAAAAATGTATATCATAAGTAATTAATAATTGAATTATTAAGCAAATAAAAGGAAAAACATATTAAAAAGATATTCAGAAGTTTTGAGTCAAAGATAAGTTAGTCTAACAAAGCAATATAACGCTAACTGTTGTTATATGAAAAAAATAATGTGTTTTAAGATGAAATAACAGTTATATTTTTAATTAAAAATAATTGTTTTGTTCTTCAAGGAGACCACATTAAGACTAAGAATAATAAAGGATTGATTATTATTAATAGGTATTACAAACGCCAAGCATAGAGTTGAAACATAATATTACCGTAATCAACGAAAGGCGAAATAATTTTCGGGAAAGGATACTTACTTATGCGTGGATACATTGATATGTGAGTGTGTTTGTGTGCTGTTAAGACTTATACAAGTATTAAAAAAACCACGTGTATAAGCACTTATAAAACAGTGTGAACATACAAAATAAAGAATTAGATTTAGTTTTGTATTCGCGGTAATAGAAATTTATTTAAATTCCGATCAAACAAAAATAGATTTTTTGTTATATTTCATTAGTGAAGCAAAAAAAACATAGGTATAACAGTTATGGAAAGACAAAGGTATGAGTAACTATCTGTATTCATTTGTTATAGGCATTCTTAACCAAAGAGTAGTTATTTGACACCAAAATGTCCAGTACGAAATGCCAATTTCATATGTAGGGACCTAATATTAAAATGAATTAAACCTCTTAGTAGAATTGAAGCGACATTCAAAATAAATGAATATAACAATAAATATTATTATTATTAAACATTTTTTTTTCAGCCTATCAGAGCCCACTCCTGATCAAAGGCCTCTTTCTTGGATGGAGAAGGTTTGAGCATTAATCACCACGCTTGCTCAATACGGGTTGGTGATTTCAAATTTATAATTGTAAAATTATAAGTCCATGTTCCCTCACGATGTTTTCCTTCACCGTCTGTCAGTGATATCTAAATACTCTTAGAAAGTACATATGACTCGGAAAAATCACATTGGTACTTGCCAAGATCGAACCCGCGTCCTCGGGCACGAGAGGCGGGCCCTCTAACCACTAGACCACCACTGACTTTAAACATTTATGACAACCTTCTCCATGTGAGATGAGGCCTTTGCACAGTAGTGGGCTCTGAAAGGCTGATGATAATAATGATTAACAAAACTAGGTACCACTAAATCCTCTTCATTATCGAATCATGCATGCATGCATATACAAAAAAGCTTGTTTGCTTGTGCCAATAGATTGCAGAGCAAAACCTTTTAGCAAACGTTGCAAAAGAAACTGTACACTGTACAAAAACTTGCAAAAATGTAAGTAGTGGCTTCTTGCCAAGTAATTAACAGTATGGGACTTATCTTCATCACTACATAAGTACTTGTTCACTAATTTGTAAGAACATAACTAACATTTTCGCTTATTGAAAATAATGCCTATATATTTCTTTAAAGGAATGAAATTTAAGACAAATCTTTCGGTTGAAATAGGTTATTATTACATTTTGTTTACAAATTGTTATTATCTACTGTGAATTTTTTACTTTTGGTAATTGTTTATTTTACGTGTAAAAGGTCTGATGTATGGTGATGTCGCTATACAAGTGCCCAAATATGCTAATTAATTTTATTTAAATCGTGATTATAGAAAAATGTTATATTAATTATAATGAACGACTCTACTAGTAAAGATAGCACGCCTGTTTATAGCTATAGCAGTATTTGTAGTCACCTCTATATGTATGAAAGCAGTACAACGGAAGCACACGAGATATACATATAAAGGCAGACGAATCTCGGGATAACCGTTTTATATTAAAAACGTGTCATTTGATGTAATTTGTAAATTATTATACATTATTTTTAAAATATATGTATTTATTGATTAAAAACATTGCTTATTTAATGTGCATATTAAATACAACTCTTTTAGTTTATGATGGTATTGTAGGATCCGTCGAAGGATATTTACATATTGTGTATTAAGTGCTAACAATAAATATAAAGTGACTTTGCCATAACTTTTTTTAGGGAAAAAAATCCAAAAATATAATCATTTTGGTTTTTGGTTTTCCTCTATGTCATTGAAATGTTTATCTGAAGTCATTCATAAAAATTGTATATTATGATATGATAAGTATGGTATGATACGAGTTCTTGGTAAAGATAAGAAATATTGATTAACCGCAATTTCAGTGGTAACATAAAATTGAAATTATACTATTTATATTCATAAATAAGTTACCTCATAGGCTTATACGTAAGAGACATTTAAATGTAAAAAAATTAAAACTCCTAGTAGCTACAATAGGTTAAGGAACTAACAAATCTATAAGATTCAAAATATACATATATTAAAAAGAAATTATATACGAAATTATATAAATATACGGAAAAACGTTTTGCTTTTTTTTCACTTTTACACATAGTAATACTTCTATTTTTCTTTTGAAAATTAAATACTTTTTAAATATTAAGACACTTATATAAATAATGTTTTCAACACCGATTGATGAATACATGAACAAGAATATAAGAAAAATACGTTTCCCGGTGGTAAAAGCAATTATTGCTGGAAAGAGAACATTTTTAAGAGTTGAGCCATTAAGGAAATAAGTTTTTTTAATTAAAATTATATAGAGGTGCAAAAACTGCAATGAAATATAAAAACCAATTACAAAATGACTGATTAGTCTATTTTATAATAATGTGACCATAATTAACTAAAAAGAAATTATCGGAATTAAGTAATCACCAATTCTATAATGAATTTCAGCATATTTGGTATAATATAGTAATGTTCATGAATTACTACATACATATATTTCAAATTTATTAGAGAGAGAGGAGTTTGACGGTGGTTTAGACATTTTAAATTTAAATCTAGATCACATTTTTTTCAGAACTGCCTGCTTTCATAAGTACTAATATATACTCGTATTATCGATTAGGAATTATTTATTTTTACTATAATTTCGTTGCTATATCTACTTAGTTGTGTTGTGCTGTGTAGATATATATATTGCAATAGTGATACAATATCATGTGTTTAAACTATGTCAGGGTTAACATAACAACTTTTCTAGTGAACATTACAGAATAATTGTACAGATAAAATCCACTCATCGATTTGAATCTTTAAGATAATAAATGTTTTGTTTAACACTTTAAATATTATATTATTTTAATGTAGTACACATAAAAATATTATTGATAATTACGACATAACAAAATAATTAATTTCAACATTTATCCCATGCATGATTTCTTACTATAATTAATCTAATAAGTTTTAATTAAACAATAATCTCTAAAGTTAATGAAAAATATTAAAGAACTATATTACTTCTTCTTATTCTTCTACCTGGCAATTTCCCAGCTTTAGCCTGGGTCTGCCTTACATGTTGTGAATAGTTTTGGCTAATTGTTTTACGACCGGCCGCACTCCTGACATGAACCCTCTTTTGGGAATCAGCATTAATCAGTGATGTCTAAATAATCTTAGAAAGTACATATGACTCGGAAAAATCACACTGGTACTTGCCCAGGCCAGGATCGAACCCGCGCCCTCAGGCATAAATAACTATATTATTTATTGGTTTATAATTAATTATATGTTTTTTTTTACCTTGACATCCCCAAACATGGTCTGTAGATCATTGTTCTTGGTATCAAGTCCTAAGTGATACAACACGTCGTATTCGAGTGACGAGAGATGTTTGTTTTTCAGTCTGATGGTGCCGTCTTTATTCCTATAAAAAAATAGTTAAATTTGTATACTAAAAGTATAATAGTTACTGATATCTAAGAATTTGCAAGTATTAATTTAAATGAAACTAATATTTTCGGATTACTATGCGTAATTTATTTTAACGGGCAGACGAGATGTCTGCCGGTTGCTGCTAAGATCCGAAACCTCGGGAGTATGTAGTTTCTGATTAAAAGTAAAAATCGCGTAGTAAATCCGAAAAATATAAGTTTCATTCACCTAGAATATTGAATGAGAAACAAGTATCGCTTCATATGTATTCTTACTAGGGTCATTTATACGAGGATTTAACATTATCTAGTTAACACTATATTACTATAAATAAGTCTTACTTTGCTGTTTCATTGTTTTCCTTACACCAAATAGACGAGCAATTGCTGTAATGTGCCTCCCAACTCTCTCTACATGGCAAAAGAAAATCACAGTCGCAATCCATCGTACACTGAAAACATAACACGTGGCTTATTACTTTTATTAAAAGAAAAATATAATTTATCGTCTCTATAACACTAAAATAAACTGATTGATATGTTACTCGATTAATAAATTTCAAACGTTATCTAAAGATAACTGTTACTAGTTAATTATCAATAATTATCAACATATTAATCATTGATTATTAACATAATTTATTTCTATAAATTGGCATACATATAGTTTTCATATGAAATAATTATTTCCCTACTAGCTTTCCGCCCGCAGCTTCGCCCGCGTGGAGTTCGGTTATATCGCGTTTCCAAGAGAACCTTTCAAAAGTCTGGGATAAAAACTATGCTATGTTCTTTCTCAAGGTTAACTTTATCTCTGTAGCAAATTTCATTAAAATCAGTTCAGTGGTTTAGGCGTGAAAGCGTAACAGATGGACAGAGTTACTTTCGCATTTATAATATTAACTAGTAGGGATATTTATAAGTATTTTTAAGAGAAATAATATATTAAAATTAAGCAGACATTTTTTTTTGTTTCATCAACAATCTGGGTCGACGGCGTAACATATATGATATGGATTTATAATAGTATAACGCAAAGAAAACCTAAAATAACGTCTCATAAGAAAGTTTCCGTAGGTATAATAATAATTAGATCCGATTGATGTAATATGAGACTCAAATATTTTCATGTATACTGAAACAAAACAACAAAAAGTTATCCGTTTCTAAGTATTCATTGTTGTCATTTGATACAAGCTTGAATGGGTCGTGTTGTTTGAACGGCTAACTCAAAACTACATATGTACTACAAGTTTAAATAATAAATGTACCCAAAATAGATATGTTTTTATATAAAAATTTAATATCGATATATCCCAATTATCAGAATTAATTTGGCTATAATAACTAATAACTTTTATATATTGTTTGATAACCAATCTTACAATGACATTTTTGTTATAAATACGTAGGAATTTGTTAATAATTATATCAACAGTACTCCTTATTCAAAATTCAATGACGCTTTTATTTTAATATCTTTCATTAATATAAAGTCTTATTATCAATTTATAAGCCCACAGTTTGTACTCTATATGTTGTCAATTGAACTAGTCATTAGCTTTAGGGATCTTAGAACCGATTTATATACGAGTATAAATTAAAATAATCATTTAATGTCTATAATTATAAGTTCAACGTAAAAATACTGTTGAGGTCACACTTAAATTAAAATTCAATTAGAAGATATTTTATGAAATGAGACTAATAAACACGATGTTTGAAAGTACAGCTTGAAGAATATCGCGTTTAATTATAAAAAAATAAGTTTTTTTCGTAATTTTCCTCAATTCTGATGCTACAAAGTTCCTGGCTTCTATTCTAATGTAAGTTTAGTAGACATATTTGAAAGTGAAGGCTGCACATTTTCTATGCCAATGCAAAAGTAAAGGTTTTATGTATCAAGATACTACTTTTCCTAGTTTTTTTTTTGCTATGGTTTTCTTAGCGAATGTCTACATTTCTATTTGTTGGACGAATTATATTGAGTATTGTGTGGAAAAACGAAGAAGTTTTCAATTTTCTCTAATCATAGATCGCGGTTGTATGATCGTACTTATAAAAATTAAGAAGAACAAAAAACTATAAATATATATAATAAGAATATATGTACTATTTGTTTCCATTGTATTAAACTGTTTCTATTATTCCGTGGACATGTTTCATAACAATATAATTATCTATTATACATATAATCTAATATTTCATATATTAAACGATAAATGAATCAATATCAAATTAAATAATATAAATAAAAAACTTACACGTATAAATTCTGACGAACAAAATAATATATAAACTCTCAAATAATGTATGCAGACATAACTAATAATAATTATAAATATTAACTTTCTTGATCGCTTCAAAACGACCGAACTAGTTGGTTGCCGTTATGACACTGAGTTGACAAACCAATTGAAACATTCAATAATAGTTCATTATGCTTCAGTTACTCATTTTAATTCTCTAGATGTAGTTACAAAAGAGACTACCTGGCAATTTCCCAGCTTTAGCCAGGGTCTGCCTTACATGTTGTGAATAGTTTTGGCTAATTGTTTTTACGACCGGCCGCCTGCCTGACATCAACCCTCTTTGGGAATGCATTAATCAGTGATGTTTAAATACTCTTAGAAAGTACGTATGACTCGGAAAAATCACATTGGTACTGGCCTGGCCTGGGCCAGGATCGAACCCGCGAACTCATGCATGAGAGGCGCTCCTTTTAACCACCAAACCACCACTGACTTCTAGTTACTCTAGTAATAAAACAGTAATATTACTTAAGTCTCTTTTAAACCTTACTTATAATATCCTTTAGGCCATAACCACTTAAAAAACACGATAATATTGTCCAAAGTATTCAGACAAACTCATTCAATGTTACTAGAAGTAATATATTGAAAACAAGTAATTTTTGATTAATACAATACAAAAATATATAGAGTAAAACATACGATATATTAGAATAGACACCATTTGACTGTGATACATTAATTGTTTGAATTTCAATAGTAAAATTGAAGTGTCCTTATATTTGTCATTTGGTGACAATACACCCGATGAGAGTTCGTCACGAATTTACTTATTATATGTATGTGTATGTCAAATTCATAGTAGTGTGTGTAATATAATGAGAACTAAGACTTACAAGTATTCATTTTATTAAAATGAAACTAATATTTTCGCCTTTCGGATAACTAAGCGTATTTTATTATCTCGTCTGTCCATGATCACGGTTGCTGTAAAGTAACCGAAACGTCGGTACATAGTATGTAGTTTTAAAATAATAAAAAACGCGTAGTAATCCGAAAACATTAGTCTCATTTAAGTGTGTTTAATATTTGTATAAAAATATTTAATATTTGTTGTATTATTTTATATTAAAAAAATTCTTTGGACGTTACTTGACCGTATAAACTTTATTCCTATTAAAATACAGTGTTCATCTTGAAATGATTTGTAAGATATTGAGAGACTTTCTACTAACACGTGTAATATTGACAAAGGATACTTGAACAACGTACATTACTCTATGACTAATAATTAAAATTATTTAATGCACCGTATATCAAATACATACTGATTAACCGTCATGATAAAAAACATACCTATACATAAATTGAACATAATATCATACTACGAAATTTTAAAACCAATTAATTAAACCCCTATAATTATTCTATAATAACTTCGAACCCAGTAGTGTATTTTCATTCCCACAAAATATGTTGTATGTCTAAACACAGCCTTATATCCAGCCAGTACGTGTAATAAAAACTAAGCCGATTTTTAAATCATGTTTCACAAAAGAACGCTAAAAAGCTGTCAGTTTACTATGAACTATATTTTCGATAGCTATGTTTTTGTAAAATTATTTTCAGTTCATAAACATTTTAGTTTGTAGATTTGTTTTTTATATTATTTTTTTTATCACAGTATAATTTTACTAAAGGGTATATAATTTTTAAATCATGCCTGAGTGAGTAGTGCAAAATTTTATGAGTCGTATAGATATGTATGTAGAATGTGTCTTTTAAGTTCATTTGGTACTGTACGCAAAAAAAGTAGACAAAAGGTCTTTTTTTTGTACTGGTAGAAAGGCCTTATTCTTTTTTGTTTTTCTAGGTGTGTACCGTGCCCAGCGGCGGCACCTTGTATGCCCACAGCTGGGGTTAAATGTGGACCAAAAGATGGGAAGCCTATGGACGGGCGACAGGAACACTCCTGCCCCTGTCGGTCTTGCTGTTGTGGGAAGCCTGCCGCCGTTAAACCAGTAGAGAAATATATTACATTTTATTTAGACTTATATCATCTACTGGAAACATTTCTCTCTAGTCTCTACCAATAAAAACAGATAGTGCAAAAAAATATTGAATGAACTTATACTATTTTTGTCGCAAAAATGCCTTAGTGAAGCTATTTGATATAAATTTTCTTGCGATAGTGCTACAAACAACCTTTCTCTAATCGTTACTAATTAAAACAACGTGCAAAAAGATATTGAAAGAACTTTACTTTTTTTGTTGCAAAAATGCCTAAATACCTATTTTAAATGAATTTTCTTTGTATAGTGCTACAAGCAACCCAGGATCCCTGATTCGTACGCTCCCCGCCGCTGCTACATGAAGCCAAGCGCGCCAGTTGAATCTTGCACCACATACAAGCTCTCTTATTTGCCTGTTGATGGATGTCAGAACTTGAGAGGCGTCGCTCGCAAGCCACCACCGAACCTTGTACCTAGCTGTGAACCCATGGAGGCTTGCACGGTTCAAAAGGTAAATTCGGGAAATCTAGTTTCCTTTGTCATTGAATTGTTCCTTTGAAAACAGGTTTAAAATATATACAGCGCTCCTGTAATAATAAGAGGCAAACTAAAGGTTAGTCTGATTTACATTATTGAATTCTATTTCATGTACCAAGTTTTACTTAATTCAGTATTCAGTGACCTTAAAGGATGAAGCTCTATATAAGCTCTATTATACTCGAAATGAAGACTTCTTTTTTACCAATGACATTAAAATCCAAAGCTAGCTTTCTCTATAAATAAAATTTCCTTTAGTTTCTTGTATGGCTTATTACTTCAAGTTTTCTACTAGTTTGCAATTAAATCTATCTTGCTTTATCCTACTCCATAATTGCTATGTAACTTCCAAGTCAAATAGTACTTAATTTTGAAATTATTTGAATCTTCCATAGATGTCCTTCTTGCCAAATCCCGTGTGCGTCACACAACCCATACGGCCATGTCATCACGACATGTGGGGTCAAGGACCGATGCAGAACATTACAACACAAAGACACGACTATGTGCCCAAGCCGTGCGTACTTCGCGAGAGTTGCAAGCCACCAGCGAAATTCCATTGTGTTGAACAGCCGTTTGAAAGTAATTCTCATAGCTTTTCTCAAGTGTCCCATTGACAGTATGATTTAGTAAAAAAAATATTAAAGTAATTACAGTGGTTAATATTTTAAAGTAATTTTTTTGCATGATTAATAATAATGGTCGCGATATATTTCAGCATTAAAATCTGTTTGAAAAAATAAGACAAAATATACACGCGACTTCGAGCCAATAAACAATGTTATTACCAGAGTCATTGCTCTTCTAAATTGATTTATTGGCCGTATCAATTTATTTCTATAATTTTTTTGACCTACACTGTCAAGATAATATACATATATTTATTCAGATGGCTATGTTTCTCTAAACAATGCTTAAATTTTTCTATAACCCTATATTTAACCCTTAAAAATTGATTGTTGATTTCATAAAATTTTATTGCACTCGACGATTTAACATATATACTTTTAAATCTATGAAAATTTAAATACTATAACAAGTTCTAACCATTAACAATTTTTCAAACACCAATTATAAAAACGTAACCGTTTATAAAACACAAAATAGTGCAATTAATTCCAAATGCTTACCTTAATCTGCAAAATCTACAATATATGTTCTTCGTTCCAAATATCCTTGATTATTCCTCTTACTTCAGATCGAACTGTAAACAAGCTATCTTACTTGCCGCCTGAGAAGATTGAATTGGTCAAATCATACGCCCCGGAGCGTTGTTACGAAAAACCAGCGGCTAAAATGGATGGCAGTACTACACATAAATTGAGCTACATGCCTAATCAGGTATAATGAGCATTAACTATAAATAGCAATTTAAATCTAGTACACTCGTACTTCTAATATATCGTTTTATGACATTATGAGGATATAAATGCGAGTAGATAACTCGATATTATTTATTAGTCTTTTGAAATATTGAAAGTCTTGAAGGAGGAATGCAATTAATTAAGTGTATAAATTCACACAAATGTAATTTATAAATGAGGTAGCAAATTAAATTTAGGGCCTTGAAAAATTTAAAGGTTCCTACTAATATAACCAATGTAAAACTTTGTGATATTGATCTCTCTTTTTCGCAGTAAGTACTCATCGGTTTAAATTGAAACTTTACAGTGACGTAGCTTAGATATTTTATTAACGAAGGGACTATAATAGGATTTTAAGACTTTCGCGATCATTGTTTTAAATGATACTAATATTTTCTGATTACCTACTACGCGTATTTTATTATTTTTAACACGCTTTTATTAATATTTATATACTCCCGACGATTTAAAACAATACAACAGTATCAAAAAATTTACAGTTATTATAACGCTCTTTTTGATTTTATAATTTTAATCACGTCCTGCAATGAAATTAAATCCTGAATTAAATAAATAGACAGAGAAATTATATTCAGTTTTGATATATTTTAACCATTTGAAGTGATCAATTGAAACAAAACCAGCGTCTTGATAGATTAAGCGAATTAAGTCTAAAGGCTTTTGGAATGATAGTAGAGAACTTTACAATGATCACTCACCCAATGCTATCTACGTGGTTGTCCTTAAGATCCTTAAAAATATATATTTTAGGATATCTGTCATGTTAGAGAAAAAAATCTTAAAAATATGCAAGAATATTGTACGGTTTATTGACATTTATGAAAGACCTCTGCAGATTTTCAGTGCCGTGTAAAGGCTTTTGAAGCATTTCTGAATGAATTCGTTTTTTGTTTCAATTTTATGCATCGAAAAGAAATTAACAAGAATATAAAATTTCTGTCTTTCATTAGGTTATGGGATATTTAATAATTGTATTTTTATATTTGCCAAATTTCAAACGTCAAATTGCTTCTTTTGTATATGGACCCGAAAATTTTTATGGCCATTTGAAAACGTTTATTAGCTTTTATTTTGATTGATTAGTATTTCCATTTCTGTATGATAACATTTGTGCGTATGTTTGTTATATAGAAAAAATATATATAGAATAAGATAAAGTAATCATTGTGTAGCATTTGTTTCAAGATCATGCCAAAGGAGCCTCTGCCTTGGGCCTGTAAAGGACAATATCAAAAGCCCTGTCAGAAGTTGGAGGGAAACACGACTTATACAATGAGGTTTGTGGTCTATGGTTTGTGGTTTACAAAGTTATAACCGTTGTCTATGCTTTGTTACAATACTATATGGAGGAGTATTTGGTAAATATGGCAACGATTTATATTTTTTATCCTTTTTATTATAAAACTAAAACATATGGAATCGTTTGTGTAATAAAAAGAATTGCTATGCGTCGGTATGCTTATGTAAAAAAAATAATAACTATTAGTTATGTTCGCGTAAACTACTGGTTATATTACAATTAAACTATATAAACATTTATTATATTTTTAACCTTTAGTAAACAATATTGAGAATGTATGTTCATTGTTTTAGGAGACAATTATTTTAAAAGCACATGTTTTGATGCGACTTTTATCATATTCAAGACTTTGTTACGTAATATGTTAAAAGTATTAATAATATTTATTTAGAGGTAACGTTGGTTTGAAGGGCCTTCGCTTCGAAAACTATACCTACTTTAAAACTTTTAATTTTAACTCCTTAATGTCAGCCAAAAGAACAAATATATGTATAATGTATGACATTTGCTAACAACAAATAAGTATTATTTCTTTTCAAATTACTTTATTTATTGCTGTTGGGATGGCGCTGTAATTTAATATCAGACTGAGTGTCTCAAAATAAAATCTAGGTCATATTCAAGTATTGTTACAGCCAATAGCAAATCCTTTACGTAAATGGATGTTATATTCCCAGATAATTTCCATAAATAACAATTGTTTTGGCATAAAAATACTATAGATGATATTTTTAAATCATTTTTAGTTATTTGGATTCACAAAGTGATTGTCGAAGGCGAGCCATTATACCAGATAGCTGCACCAATCCCGTAACTGCTTCGAAGAGATTTGAAACGCAGACTATCTATAAGAACAGGTAATAGAAATACTAATATATTATTCTGCTGCTTATTGCAATAGTAATAAGGACTAGTTTACTGAAAAGCCATTAAAAACTTTATTATAAGGGCAACATTTTGTATAATAACACGAAAATGTTCTATAAGATTAAGAACTAGCAAACAAATTAAAATTATTAGAATCGGTCGCACCTAAAACTCTCGTATAGATTATGAAAAATATTTGTTCGTTTAGTTAAACCCACATACAAATCGTTTAAATGTAAAAGAAAATTACAAATGATACGCTTATAGTTATTTAAATATACTACAAACTTTGGATACTTTTAGTAGTATTTGTTATTAGAGTAACAATGTATGAATGTCAATTAAGACGCGTGCTATATAGCTATAGTTTACTTTTAAATTTCATATGACATTTTAACATCAATGTATTAAGCAGTCTCATTAAAATATTAATCCATTCTGCTTTATGAAAAATATAAATAAATAAATTGACTATAATGTAAAATATGTATGTTATATAGTATATATGTTAATAATAATAGGTAATATTTCCCTTAATTGTTATAAATGTTTTTTATTAAATCCTGGTCTTTATTTCCAGTTATCTTCCAACAACGGCTCCCATTCCTCATCCTATAAAGCCTCTCCCAAATCTTGTCCCCTCCACAGCGCAAATGGAAGGCGATACAGTTCAAAAGGTTTCACATTTTTCTATTATATTGTAGGAATAATATAATATTTATTACCATTAAAAATACAGATCTTGAAACAAGCATAGACAGAGTAAATTACATGTATAAAAATATATCTGTCCTATAGAGATGATTTTCATGTATACATAGTGGCATAATATTAATTTGGGATCGCTTTTTTGCTGATATTAAAATAAAAATATTTTGACATTTATGACAATGACATTGACGGCCGCTACAAAAATAATTTTGTCATAAAAATTGTGTAAATTCCAACAGAGTGTTTTACAATTTACATTGCTGCACTTCTTGTGCAAATAAACTGTTACTGTGTATAAAATCTCCAACTTTTAAATGAACAGTTGTAAATGTAAACGTAATTATAACATTTATAATGGTATATTTCTAATTAGAATTGATAAAAATACTGTAAATACTCTTTGAAGATTATTTCAGTGATGTCTTATGAATATTTTTCCTCAGATCTTTTTCAAATGTTATTACACTTTTGTAAAGAACCTATTTTAAGTAGACTACGTGACTAGAAAGTAATATTGTAATATACAATATTACAATTTCACTCTTGTTTTGTATTCAAAGGTCAGGCCTTATTAGCAAAAAATATTTTCAGAGAAGAGGATTGTATTTTTTATTTACGAAATCTATGGTACAACAAACAAATTAAAATGTAATAAATAATGAAAACACTCCTCTTTGTACATCATTGAATTTCTTTTCAGGAAATTTTAGTTTATCCCATTTCATGAAATGCGATATTTATTATTGAAACTAACCATATATTCATACGAACGAGCTTCTATGAGGTCAATACTATTATATACTAAATTAAAGTTTCAAATCCCAGCTATCCTTCTTGCCAAATCCCGTGTGCGTCACACAACCCATACGGCCATGTCATCACGACATGTGGGGTCAAGGACCGATGCAGAATATCACAACACAACGACACGACTTTGTACCCAAGCCGACTGTACTGCGGGAATCTTTCAAACCAGCGCATAAATTCCATTGTGTAGAACAGCCGTTTGAAAGTAAGCTATATAATATATAGACTTATGTTTTTTAGCATTTAATCTAGTTGACTTTGTAACTTTGTAGATATTATATGTCAAAACAGTCAACGTTGCAATATGGCCGCGATGTCAATTTGACATTGATTTGTAATGATATACCATATGTAACAGTAATTCTGTGTAATTTAGTTGTGAATAATTTATTATTACAGATCGAACAGTAAATCGGATGTCGTATTTAGACCCGGGAAGGCAACCGCCTCCAGAATCGTATGCTCCTAGCAGATGTTATGAAAAACCTGCAGGTACGAGGCAAAGGTCCAATAGTTTAAGTCCGATCTGTATATATTGTTATATTATATAAAACCTCTTTCAGCCAAAATGGAAAGCGACACGATACAGAAGATGTCTTATCAAGCGGTGTGCGCACCAGCACCCCAACGGCCGCCATGGGCTTGCAAAGGGCAGTACCAAAAGCCCTGCCAAAAGGTATATTTTCGTGACGTATATTTGCATATATTTTCAAATCTACACAAGTTGTGTGAACGTAATATTGAAATAAAAGTATTAAAATTTTGATTACCTTTAGAGATTCAGGACAATGGAAACTAAAATAATATTGTAACGTTAAGTGTTGCGATGTTGTTCACTTTCCTTAATTCATGGGCCTATTTAAGGGGACGCGGTAGCTCAATTGACAAAATGTCTGTAATACGATACCGCGGATGTCGTAGGTTTGAATGGTTCATTGAGTTGAATGACTCAGTCAATATACATAGTTCTAGGATATTCGGTTGTTGTTACTTAACAGTAATTGCCATTTATTATTGAAAAGTTGATATTTTTTAACTGTTTAAAAGTTCCGATACAAAGAAACTGGTGCCGTGAGTTTTTAATTTAAATAATTCACCTTAATTGATTCACATATTTTTAAAAATGACATCAGATGATTCAGTTTATCCGTCGATTTAAAATTGTTTTTGATAAATCTCACTTATATTACAAATATATTTGTTTATATGTAAAAACTGTCAGGAATTTTTGATGACATTGACAATGACATTTTGACATTTCAAAAATGGCCTACTTTTTTTTAAATTTGGTAATGAATGAGTGATTTTTATCTTAAATTTTGGTAGTCTATTTTGATTACATTGGAGTCACTGAAATGTGTTGTGTATTTAGTTGGAAGGCACCACAGTATACCGATCGTCATTCCTACCTCCCGGCGAAGATTGCACAGAGTATATGGACCCGTGTTCTTATGGCGACTGTAAACGTTAGTATTGTATTATATTTGATTTTAATTTAATTTACACAACAATACTATTTTTAATATTAATTATTCTATTGGGACTAGTTCTCATTCTTATATGATTCCGGTTTGATTCTTAAAACACTACGGAAATGAAAACTTGTATCGTAATTATACGTGTGCACTTTATAACGCTAGTTGTGTAAATAATTTTATTTTTATCATTATCATGCATTATCACAGTAAAAAAGTTTAATTAAAACATTTATTAATTACTAACAGTCCTGAAATAAATTGTAACTGGCCTGGCAATCTCCACAAAATATAATTTTAAAAAATATAATTTTATCCCATTCTATTTCAATTTCCCTTCAATTTTATTTTCTTTATAAATACCTACTTTTATACCAATTTATAGGATAATTAATACTATGACCAATTAACGATTTTAATGTCTTAGTTCACACGTTAACACATTGGGTATTAACATATAACATAAGAAATAATTAAGATAGCTTTATTAAGACTTGATAAAAATACTATAATTATATTTTAGGAATTGTACGCTTAATTATTTTCATTACATTTTTTGTTGTCTTGAAGTTATATCATATCCAAAAAAATATCTACGATCAGTAGTTTATTGATGTCAACTACATTTTAATACACTACGAATTCACTTTAATGACATTCCATGTTTTATTTTTTCGACTTTCATTTTACTCTAAATAAAAATATGGTATAGACTAAATTTCTTCCAAGCTGACTTAATAACGAAATGGTTGATTACATAATTTTATTATTGATATTGCTAGTTAATTAATATATGTATATTTCTTTATTTTTTCAGCCTGTAATTGTGTCTGTCCCGCTCAATGCATCGCTACCGACCCTTGTGCCTGTAACTTTCCCAGAGCTGAATGTTGTACGTAATGTCGTGCCGTTGTCGTGTCGTGGCTTCTAAATTCATGTGACCAATATGGCGGTCAAGCGTCATTTGATTAGAAATTTGACGTTTAAATTATTGTTATTCAATACTTAGCGTTCAAAGTAAAACTATTTGGAATATATTCTTTTTATAGCAATTTACTAGGTTTGTTATGAATAGTTTAAATTAGTTTAATACAATTTACTAGTTAAACTTTTTTACGTTAAATTTAAATTATTATGTATACTTGAATAATGAATAAAGGTTTTTATTGAAATACGTTTTATTTTTTTATAAACTTTATTAAATGGGAATGAAGATTTTAAAACAAATATATCGGATAACACTATTAGGACTAGATTAATGATATAACAGAGTCGTATATACATATGTTATATACTCAGTACTTATTTAATATATGGATTTATTTAAATAAGATTAAACAAGCAGTCTTATTGCTTTGCAAGTTATTTTAAACAAGAATGGAACATTCAACTACCCTCACGTAAACAAGGCACAACTTTTTTTTGATTAATCTATTTATCAGAGGTTGCCAAATTGCAATTGGAACCACAAAAACATTGTTTTCTAAGTCATCATGATTTTCAGGATATTAAATACAATACAAGCAAAATTATTCATTGAAATATTCTTAGTCTTTACATTATTATTTAGGATGTATGAAAAAACTGTATAGCCAAAAAGTCAAATAGAAATGATTTCATTTCAAAATAAGGCAAGACTTAATCTTCCACAATAATAGAAATCGTGAATCGAGTATTAAATAAAAACTATAATAAATGTACAATCCATGAAAAATGGCTTGCTTAATTTACAAGTAATATATAAATAAATTATTAAAATAATTATAATCTAATTAAACAATTATAATACTTAATAGTATACAAGAAATTTCTGAACAAAAGATGAGAATGCAATTAAGAGTTCAATCCACTTGACTCAACCTACTTTGTGATGAAAATTGTGTCAATGCCGGACTTGTGAGTTAATAATTCCATTATGGAAACAAACAAAACAACACAATTTCAAGAAAAACATGAATTTTGAACCACTTCAGTGTAACAAATCTTTGTGGTAAGGGTTCTAAATAAAATGGTTTCTTGATATATTTTGGGAACCTCTGATTTTTTCCTAGTACATATTAATGTGGCAGTGAATATTTTGTAATATAAACTATTCATTACAACTGTTTTCTTTAGAATCTAATAAGTGCTCAAGTCTCTATAGTCTAAAGCAAGATGGAAGATAGTTGCTTGAAATTGCTATAGATCAAATTACTGCCATACCAATTATTAATTGAACATACTTTGAGAAGCTTAGTCAATATAAGAATTTTAATTATATTGAATTTCAACATTTCCCTATCTTAGAGCATTATAAATCATTGTCACATATCGTCGGGGATAGTGCAAGTTTGAGCTGAAATATTTAAGGTAATTTTTTTACCTTTACAGTAACTATTAGTGTTTAATTTATTACTAAACTGCTTTCAATGTAGATATGAGGAATTATCCAATGGTAGTAACGCAGATTTGCACTATCCCGGACGATAAGAACTTGTCATTAAGTATTTTACTGTCAAATGTAAAGATGTACGCTATCACTTATATTAAATTGCTTATAATTTGTCCATATTCAAGAATATTACACAACTAACATAACTATAACTCAAACTAATGTTACTGCAACAACACTGTGCCCTCGATTACTATCAATATAAAACGCTCAACATTAAATATATCATTCGGTAAACTTATAACATATCTCTAACATTATCTATAGAATTTTTCTCCCATATCTGTCCGGAAGTATACAATCTATACACTTTATTGCTAACAAGACTCTGTCCATATTTAATCATAGCACCTTCGAATTTGTGTTGGAAAACCTGCATTTCAGTTTCATTATAACCGCCAGGGCTGAAAGTTTTCAAATCTCGGCACACACTATACTTATGAGCTCCGAGTAACTCTAGTGGTATTTTCTTAATACTCGTTGTTAGATTAAATAAATCATCAAAGTTTGTCATGGTTTCTAAATTCCTTATGTGTATTGGCACTTTGTCTTGTGGTATATTATAATAATGGGTTTTCTTCATGATTGCCGGATATCCGATTTCTACATTATCATCATCAATTTGATTTAAACAGAATAACAAAGGCTCTACGGTATATGTTCTGAGAGCTCGTATAGGATCAAAGTCATCTAAAACCGCCTTAAAACTATTGTGTACTCTCGGCACCAAAAATTCATCCCATGAAAGAACAGCTACATGGCTTACTTTACTTGACTCCTCTTTATCATATTTATAATGTCTAAACAGACAATCCAATTCAATAGCCCTCCTAACGATCTTGTAGGACTTCGCAAACACAAACGGGTAATTTAGAGGGAAAAATTGTATATCCCATTGAGTTATATCGGATGGGAACAAATTCAACCTTTTGATGACATCTTCGGATATCATCCCATCATATATTGTGAAATAATTTACTCCCATAATATGATGGAATACGAGAAACTCTATAAACGCATCTCTCGATACTATTGGCACATGATTTGGTATTACACAGAAAGCTGGTTCAATATTATTAACGAATTTAATACTGCTCCTCTCTCGGACTTTCCGTCTAGTGTTCACTTGGATAACTTTGTTTATCGGTGCATGCATTGGATTTATGTTGTAGTCGTTAACATAAAAGCTTATCCCAGATGGTTTTCCGAGATTTTTGCTCAGAGAACATTCAAATATATACAACTGATAATCACTTATTATTTCCGAAGCTGCTTTAAAGCTAAATCTACCAGCTTTAGGCTTAGAACTATTTTCGAACCATATATTGCAACGAAAACGAGGTTGCACATGCGCTTTTCCGATCACAATAGTATTAATAATGTGTGCTTCGGTTATTTCGAGTTTCTCATATTTGTTATATGATCGCAGAAATGATGAATATGAATAAAAATTTTCGTCGATTTGCTGGAATAGAGGTGGCGTCTCACGTACCTCCATGGAAGAGTTACGTAGAATCTCCGAAAGCATAGTAGCATTGAAACCGGGCCCACAGAATTCAACTTCAGATAATCCTGGTTTTCCGAAGAAATTGAGCACTTCTAAAACATACCTTAGACGATAATATTCATGTCGGTAAATAAGAAGAGTAACAATACTTATAAAACACACAACAACAAGAATCAGCTGATAATATTTCCTCATGATATTATTTGACGATTTTCGAGCGGTCTTCATTTAACAGAAACACAAAAAATAATTAGCTATAAAAGTATATCTTAAACATTGGTACATTCATTAAAATGTTTCATTATTATATCTTCATAAATTATTGACTGTAATATAAAGTACAACAAAACGTAACAAAAAAAGAGTCCGCAATCCGCATTGCTTCAACTGTCATCGTCATTTTGAACTGTCAAAACGATATTAATATAACATTCTATATTATTAAGCTATTGCATAGCTTCTATCGCGGGTTATAATTTATTATATAGTTGATTCAATTCGAAAAATATGTGATTTTTTTTAATATCTTAAAAATTATATATTCAGTAAAACTGGTTCAAAATGAAATACAGTTCCTGACATTGATTAAATGTAATAGAAACTGTAGTTTCGAAATTTTACTTGGTTAATAGTATAGTTTTTATTGATAATTTTAAGAGAGAAAAATTACCAAAGGGTACCTATAATTCCTACTGTGTATTGAAATTAATGAATTTTGCATAGTTTTAGACCAAATATTTTTAATCTGTTTTAGATCATTGCTTTGAAAACTTCGATGACTTGCTTGGTTTTGAGTTTGATATGGGAGTAAATTGACAACATCGGCAACATAGGTTAATGTAAAACCAGTGAATTTATTGTTATTATATCACAATCGACATTCATAAGATGTCTGGGAATAAGGAAGACACGCTGCGACATTTCTGTGACGTTACCGGCGCCGATGAAAATCGTAGTAGATTCTTTTTAGAATCATCAAACTGGCAATTAGAGGTAAGGTACAATTTTATTCATAATATATAGATTCCTTCAATCAAATCAATGAATTACATATCAAAGTCACATTAAAAAATATATCAAATTATAGTAATGTGTAACATGGGCTACATACATAATAAATAATACAAAATTCTCAGGTTGCTCTCTCAAGTTTTTACGAACACGGCGGTCATATAGAAGAAGCGCCCAGTGCTTCGCCTGCCGTTGGAGGTGTACAGCCAATGTCGGATAGTGATATGGATTCACCTCCACGGTCGCCAGCGCAGACCAAAAAAAAAGATAAAAAGAAAACCAACCCACACTTCGCGACATTAGATTCGCTGCAACAAGAAAGTTCCAGTGAGGATGAAGAAAGTATGTATTAATCATTATATCGTCTTAATTTAGTGTATAATAATAGTACTTAGTAAAAATTATATAATTACGAGTATACGGCCATGATTGACTGGTATATATTGTATAGTATCAGTGTATGGACGAAATAATAGTGTGAGAGTAGAAATTGTTCAAGAATACTTTTGTCACCCACCAACATGTTCTAAAAAGAAAGAGGATTGTGATAAATGTAAATCACAAAAAGATCAATTAAATGAAATGCTAGAAGAAATACAGAGACTTAATAATGAAATTAATAGACTGTTGGTAGAAAATATTGAATTGAGCAAGGAGATATCACAAATGAGAGAAAACTCAGGTCTGTTTGTGTTAATAAATAATAGTAGTTACAGCATTTATATATAAAATGTTAATAGTTTCTTAAATACACTAGTTTTTGTCATATTATGTGATAAGTACAAGAGTGTAAAATATATCTAGGAATTAAAAAAACACTATTTCAAAACGTACACAGTAACATTTTATATAAAAAATATTTCTAATGAAGTCCCAACAGTGTGAAAGTAATTTTAATATTGTTATCCTATATAACAGAAAGATTTTGTTTCATAATAAGGTTAGTTCTATACATATATATTTTTTCCAGACATTCATACATATTCAAAATTTAAAGTTATTTGATTTTTGTATAAAGTCCATATTAACTTTGTACTGTCTCAATTTCATTTAAGATATCTTTTTTAACTCATTAATGAAGATTATGGTGAAAATATAATATTATAAACTTTTTAAATGAAGATAAAAGATAGGAAGCTAAAGATAAAATAAAATTTGTGTCGTTTGTTTCAGCTCAAGCATTCTACGCTGGTGGTTCTGAGAGATCGGGCCAACAAATTCTTGGACCAGGAAAAGGCAGAAAAGATATAATTACGGAAATGTTCAAAAGTGTTAGGGAGTAAGTGTATCATTCTCATTACCCTTGAAAACTCGTATATATATGTATATACTATGTTATGTATACATAACTCTTATATATATATATATATATATGCTAGCTTTCCGCCCGCAGCTTTGCCAGCGTGGAGTTTGGTTATATTGCGTTTCCAAGAAAACCTTTTAAAAGTCTGAGATAAAAACTATCCTATGTTTTTTCTCAAGGTCAACTCTATGTTTGTACCAAATTTCATTAAAATCAGTTCCATGGTTTAGTTGTGAAAGCATAACAGACAAACAGACAGACAGAGTTACTTTCACATTTATAATATTAGTAGGGATGTATACATATATTATGTGTATGTTTGTGTATGCAGTTGTATAGCTATATCTGCAAAACTGTAGGAATAAAATTTGTTATTAGAGTTCTAAGAAAGAAACTACGATTTTTAGTGATTATACATAAACATTGTTAGTGTATATCAAACAGCATGAACAAAGTTGTGAGTATCATAAATACTTACTATTATTTGAATTTTCATGATTCTAGTTGAATTAATCACATATTAATCAGGTTGCAAAAATTAACACCCTCTGACATTTGATTTACACAATTTTATTAATTTTGTTGTCATAAACCACTGTTTTCGATATTATTGCTCCTAAATTTAAATCCAAAATGTGTCTCACGTAATTTCAAAAATTTTGCATAATTATTAATTAATAATAGTCTAAAATTATGTAAATTGAAGATGAAAAACTTGGTAATATGTTATCAAAGTTAGCCAATCAAATATAAGATAATTCTTAGCAATACCAATATTAGCAAGTAGTCTTTTCTTAAACAATCTTTGGTTTTTATTACATTGTTTCAAATAGTGTAATTATGAAAACATCTATTGAATAAAATTAGATTATACAATTAATGTGTATGGACTAATTTTATATCATCAAACACTAGTTTTAATGTATGATCATTTTAATACATTATACAGTTATTATACAGTTTATGAATTGAAATTTCTTACGCGACTTGCAACAAGGTTGCGTTAAACATTAAACTATGAGGGAGAGAGAAAGATTTACAAATGTAGAAAGTAGGAGTGAGAAAGCGAGTCAGTAGATTAAAGCACATGGTATTCTTTCTATGTAGCTAAGTAAACAGTATGAGTGTCTTGAAATTACCTAAAATACGTACTTGTTGTTCTACATATATTAATTAATTTGTAGTATACTTTTTTTCACTTAGCACACTATTTTTATTATGAATTTTAACCATTTGTATATTATTAGACAGGGTGCAGTTGTTTTCGATGAAGAACAATCATCAACAAGTAGAGGGCGCTCGGGACTCTTTGGTGGTGTGGGCTACAGGCTCGGTAAGTTGATCTGAGTCTTTATTTATATTTTGTGAGGTAGAGCCTGGCTGTGGTCAATTACTAGGTCGAACATGTGTCGGCTCGACCGGGGAAGTACCACCTTCTCAGTCTTAAATGGCTATTTTTCGTCCGATGAGTGAGAAAGACGGTTGCCCTTTTCTTTTTTGCCCAATTTCCTGCCTTTTCCTTTCCCTTTTCCTCCTCATATTCCCCAATCAAGGTTGGCAACACACACTGGTTGCTCCCTTTAACATTAAAATCTATAATGTTCATATTATAACATTTATTATTCTTCCAGGTCAAACAGCTGATGATCATGAACAGGTCACACCTGGAAATGCTCCACAGCAACAGGTATATATAAAAAGATAATATCTTGGTAATAATACAATTAATATTAAATTATATTGATATAATAATATACACTTGAATTGAAGTACAATTATAGTTTAAACTTTCATTCAATTGACGGTATATTCATTTGAAAAGAAATAGTAATCGTTATTACTTCTTATTATTGAAATTTATCTTCTACTGATCTTCTCTAGCAGTGTAGTCTAGGGGCCGTTCAAGTATTACGTAAGCAGATTTATTACAATTATTTTATCCCCCTTGTCAGCAAAAGTAAGCAAAGCTCTTACCCCCTCCCCCCATGCTTACGTAAACATTTTCAATTACTGTATTGTTTTTTTTTAAATAAAAATCCAGAAAAATATTATAATCATATTTTTTATGGATCTTCTCGATGTGACAATTACAAAGTAAATAACTACCGATGACGTAATCGATACCTAGACTCCCCTACCCCTATGTCATCCAAAATAAGCAAAGCAAAGACCCCCCCGCCGATAGTGCTTACGTACTACTTGAACAGCCCCCAAGTCTGAACTAGTCTGGTTTGGTCTAGACTATAGTCTGTATATATATTGTTTATAGGAGGGTGGTCCGCGCGTGGTTCGCCTGCGTCTATACCGCGCCGGGTTCGTAGTTGACGACGGGCCCCTGCGGCTGTACTCGGATCCTGAACACGCGCACTTCCTCAGCTGTATACGACGAGGGTAACATATATCTTCTTCTACCTGGCAATTTGCCAGATTTAGCCAGAGTCTACCTTATATGTAGTGAATAGTTTCGGCTAATTGTTTTTATTACCGGCCCGCCTGCCCGACATCAACCCTCTTTGGGAATGCATTAATCAGTGATGTCTAAATACTCTTAGAAAGTACATATGACTCGGAAAAATCATATTGGTACTTGCCCGGGCCAGAGTCGAACCCGCGCCCTCGTGCAGGAGAGGCGGGCCTTTTAACCATTAGGCCACCACTGACTGACTGACACACTGACTGACACAAAAGAAAGTCGTGTTATTTACACAATTTATAAATTGGTGGAAAGATAGCTTAGAACAAGTGAAAGGACATAGGATACTTTTCAACCGATTGGAAAAGAAAAAAAAATAAGTTGATCAAATCCAAAATCTTCTTATCTACTGTCTTTAAGGAAGAATAGAATTAATTTAAGTCCTGAGCAAAAACTAGCATATAATATGTGAGAATGTGGTTCTCAAGTTTGTATACATTTGTAGCCAATGAAATGTGTTGATTTATGGCCTGGCGTCACGTTTAATCGTAAAATGTTTTAAAATATGGATTTTAAACTAAATATTTCATAGTTACATATAAATTATAACTCTATAACTATATTTTGAAGTTCATACTTTAAGTCATGCTATGCTGAAACGTCCAAAGAATATATATATATATATACAGGGTGACTGGTGAATTACTATCAATATTTAAGGAGAATACTCGGTACATGATTCTCATTCGAATTATGTAAAAAAAATAGGCGCTTAATTTTTGACAAAATTTCCGTATAAATAAATAAAGTGTTGACACGTTCCAAGTGTGGACGCGTGTGGCGGCGTGCTGATACAACACCACGCCCCGCTCGCGTATGTGTGAGTGTGAGTGTATACCTAATCTGTAGGGTGTTCACACGATGCGTAATTAATTACATAACTTTTGGTTAACTTTACTTAGAAGTTTATTAATATTTATGTTATATTAATTTTTATTTTGTCATATATGATCGTCAAATATCATTTCCTCAAATATCGATAGTAATTCACCAGTCACCCTGTATATATATATATGACATAATGTTGTGATTTGGATGACACAATCAATTAAAAGATTAATGGTTTCTCTGTAAGAAAGTAATTTTATTGTTAGTTTTTCTACCAAGATTACAACCTATACTAGGTTCTCAATAAAAAGTTCACAACACCAATTCGTAAGAAACGAAACGTCAAACGACATTTGAAGCTATTTATTAACATCCAATATCACAATTTAATTTAATATGATCTATTTTAAATGAAACTAATATTTTCGGATTTACTACGCTTTTTTATTTTTGACTATAAACTTCATACTCCCGACGTTTCGGCTACTTTACAGCAACCGTGATCACGGACAGACGAGACGATAAAATATTAGTTTCATTTAAATGAGTAGGTACTCGCGAAAATCTTAGTACTCATTATGATCTATTTTACAAGTTGTCTCCTTGGTAACAGTTTCGTTATACATTTTTAAAGAAACCACATATAACAATATATCGTGTTTGTCTATGATATATGAAGAAAATTATATTTTTCTTTATATAATAAACTAGATGACCCGGCGAACTTCGTATCGCCCTATAATCAAGAAATATCATTTACGTTTTTTAATAAATAAATTTAGGTTATACCTTAGCCTCAGAAACGCGTGGTGGTTATGCTATTATTAAATATTTTTAACATAGCGCCATCTATTGAATACTTAACTCAGTCAACAGATAATTGTAATAATGACAAATAATTTTCTTTAATAGACAAATAATTTGCAATAAAATAATATTGTGACTATAAATTGAGATGTAAGCTATCCTATCTTTCAAGTTGGATCAAAATGCACAGGGAATGCAATTCAAATTTAAAATCGGTTTAGTAGTTTAGGAGTCCATCGCGGACAAAGACATGATACGAAATTTCTATATATATATAAAGATATATATTATATAAGAATAATAATATTTCAGTACAATCCCTCCCGAGCTACGCGGACACGGCGAGGTCAAGCTAAGTCTAGAAGACAAGAGGCATGAGGAGTGTCCTCGACCAGCCTCTAAACACATGCCCTTTGGGGGCAAAGGACACATGCTGGGCAGGTCAGTAGAGGGCAAAGGTCAACTCATTATAAGGACAGAATTCATACATGAAACTCATATTTTTGGGTACAAGAGTGGGAATTGATATAATGACATTTAGTCAGTGGTGGCTCAGTGGTTAAAGGGCCCGCCTTTCGGCCTCTCGTCGCCGAGGGCGTGGGTTCGATCCTGGCCCGGGCAAGTACCAATGTGATTTTTCCGAATCATATGTACTTTCTAAGAGTATTTAGACATCACTGATTAATGTTGATAGTGTTACCTGCGGAATTCCGGGATGTATAGTATCCTATTTGTTATTCCTGGACGTCAGCTTCCTGCATACAAAATTTTATCAAAATCGTTTCAGCCGTTTGAGCGTGAAGAAGTAACAAACATACACACACACTCACAAACTTTCGCAATTATAATATTAGTAGGACAAAATAATGATTGGTAATCCGAAAATATTAGTTTCATTTAAATGAATACTTGCGCTTCTTAGATTTTGTTACAGTAGCACTTTTGCTTCTTCTACTTCTACCCTTCGGTAAAAAGTACATTTATTTGGACAGTTTATACAAATAACCCATATGGGTATATGTATTTGTATACATATATTGAGGATTCTAACAAAATCATAAAAAAAGTAAGTTGTCTTATAAAGTAACTATTAAATGAAAAATAAAACCTCAACAAAACCGGTCTCACAGCGTTTTAACTAATCATTATTCTAAACCAAAACACCATAAATTTAAGTAACAAATACTGACAAATTGTGTAGACAAATACTTTCCCGCGTAAAAGTGAACAAACCAAATGTCATCGCTTTAACGACACTTCGGGTGCGTTCCAGATCTACTAAAACTTTGTTCAAATTGTGTGTAATGAATAAATATTATTTATTAAAGAGAATCATGCTATCCTCATTCTTCTTCTACCTGGCAATTTCCCAGCTTTCCCCCAGGGTTTGCCTTACATGTTGTGAATAGTTTTGGCTAATTGTTTTTACGACCGGCCGCCTGCGTGACATCAACTCTCTTTGGGAATGCATTAATCAGTGATGTCTAAATACTCTTAGAAAGTACATATGACTCGGAAAAATCCAAGTACTTGACAGGATCGAACCCGCGCCCTTATGCATGAGAGGCGGACCTTTTAACCACTAGGTCACCACTGACTTATTGCTATCATTATATATGTTTAAAGTGTTATATTTTCTTTAGCCCTACTCCGCCCACGGTGGGCGCTACATGTCCTGTGGCAGCCAGCGGCGGAGACAGAGAGGCGAATATGAGAGCTGCACAGAACGACGTGCAACTAGATGATAACGCTCCTATCACCTCTGTACAGGTACACACACACACACATGTACATAGATACACACACGTACGATCAGCCAGAAAGGAGATACGACGACTCAGGAGAGTTCAAGATCAAATATTGAGATGACGGATCACTAAATGGCGATTAAATATGTTGATTATAACACTAAAATTATATATACAGTAATACCCCGCTTTACGCGAGCGATACGTTCCGAAGAAAATCGCGTTAACTAAAATTCAATACACAGATATAAAAATCATTTTAATCAATCACTTTAATTCTAAGAACACTTTACAATACATAGGTACTCCTATTTTTTACGAAAAAATACATGTATTCTCTAATGGCTAGCGTTTTGTTTACGTTCTTGTAAAATACGTTCATAACACCAAACACTGTTTTTTAATCGTTTGACACACGTTCAAGACACGGTCATCATTATTATCTATACTCTGCAATGTCCCAACCTGAATAAAATTTTGAAAATCGCGTTATAGTGAAACGGCGCAAAACAGGTTCGCGTTAAGCGGGGTATAACTGTATATATATAGATTCATACAGCAATATATTACGTGTTACTGAATAAACTACTTAAAGGCCATTCATAAATTACGTCACTCGTAATTTAGTATTATTGAACTCGTACCCCGTCCTTGTCACAAGTTATCACCTCCTAATGTGACGTCTCACATTTGTATTCTTGAAGTAAAACTTCTTTACGCACGCTGACTTGAAAGTAAACTGGTGAATGCGTGACGCAAGCGTTACGAAAAGTGTGATCGGGCGAAGCGAAGAGTGAGAGGGAGATATAAGTTAGTGAAAATAGATAGAGATAGTGTTACGGCTTGTATATAACTCTAGAGGCAAGAGACAGAGCAGTGTTTCGCTCTCTTTCATAGCCAGTGCATATATTTCATGAACAAAATTAAAATATATATCTCAGTCAGTAGTTCGTTTTTAGTTTTCTCTAGATATCTTTTAAATCTTCATTCGAAAACATATGTATCTTATTTCTCATATCATATGCCTATTGTTTCGGTCTTACAATCAACCACAGTAATTACTGATGTATCCGATGATGAATAATATGAAAATAATAATTAAAAAGAAATATTTATTTAAATATATTAATTTATCAATGATAACCCATAATGTATTCAAATATATGTACAAAATTAATATATGTATATGTACATGTCTGTATTATACTTATATAAACATATATTTATAAGGTATATTATTGAGGATTTTCAAAGTAAACTACAATTTGTTTCTCTGAAAATACAACGAAACTACATTAAACTCCACTAATATCACCTCCTAAATTATATCCCTTTGTTTATCTCTCAACAAGTTTTAATAATAACCATAAAATGCACAACAACCTAAGCATAATCCGCCATTAGTGACGCGTCTCTTCTCTACAAGTTATAAAAGCGAAAGAGCGGCAAATTTGAGTTTAATGAAATGTCATTTCATTGCATATATATATTACATATAGATGTAGCGAAAGAAGTTTTATTTCAGTCGTGTGGTCTTAAGCACATTGGTTTTATTTTTTAGATTATATATTTTTTTACATTAGATTCGCTCATAACTTCCGCAAAATCTATTTAAATCCTTGCCATTCAGAATTCTCTGAGATCAAGTTCATTATTTTTTTCTTATAATCAATTAACATCCAAACTGTGTTTTATTATTACTAATTTTAATGTGACGTTAACTATTCTTCCTCCACGCCTCTTATCACACGATATCACACTATAAAGATACCCTCCTTTCCATTAACGTGTGACGTACTTTATGTATGGCCCCATAGTGGATTATTCAATAAAGGTAAGAATTACGATAAGTGGACAGTATTGTTGAAATAATTGCTGGATTAAAGTAATGAGAATACAATTAAATTTACCTCCAAGTAACATTATCGATACATGATATATTGTACAAATTCCATATCTTAGAGACGGTTATATATGATATAGATTCTATTTTGAACCTTTCATACAAGTAATTGGATACCTCCCACGTAAGCTGTTGTATCTCCAAAACTGTAATTTTACAGTAGAGCGTTTCAAAGATTCAAATTAAACCAAAATCTGAATTTATTGATGCATCTTTTAAATTTCGTATTTAAATTTAACATAATAATAGTCTTCTTAACTACGTTAAAACATTTTTTAATTAATATGCCTATTTGCGGAGATATTGTTTTTATATCGTTCATACGACATTTTACTCCGGAGTAGAAGCTAAAAAAGGTGTTGTATCTGATACTTACAACATTATACCGCGGCGCCCAGGTAGCATCACTTGTGGTATATGATAGTTACAACCAGTGGCGGCTGGTGGGTTATCGAACTGGTGGTTCACTTTACTAAAATATTGACAAAAACAACAATTGACATAAAATATGTTTATTTTTTGTACATTAATTCATAACTATATCCAACTCTGATACAAAGTCTATTAATCCACGAAACACTCCAGCATTACTGGACTCAATAGTTTCATCGTGACCTCGCAAAGCTAACTCAAATGCACCACAAAACTTGACACAATCGATAAGACGTGATAAAATGTATCTGTTTTTATCAACTTGTTTATTATACTTTTGGATATTACTTCTATACACAGAATCTAGCTGATTACGAATATCGACTGTGCCTAACACAGACAAACTCATTACATTTTGTAGGTGTACTTGTGAAGAATCGTGTTTTTTATTTTTTCACTTAAATGCGTCAAATCCTTGATTCCAGTTTCCGTCCAAATCGATTCTCCGCCAAAAATAATGCAAGGAAAACAAAAGAATGCATTAAGACGCTCACATCCACACAACCATTTCTTTCTATTATACATTTCACTTTTAAAACTTCGTATAAATGCTTTATTTTTCGATGTACACTCTTGTTTTAAATTTAAAAAGGGCCGTGGCGGCCCGGCCAATTTTATGTTCACTTTACTTTGAAAAATTTTGTTATTTTCTTTAATATAATCAATATTTATACTCATTTTCAACTAATAAAAAACACAGTACAGAATAAAAGTTCTATTATAGAAACGAAATAAAAACTAAAACGAATTACGGAAATAATTATAAACAATAACGAATTAACGCGTCACGCATACAGTGAAAGTTGAAACAATACCAATAACGATTAACGAAATGTCAATCATAGCACCCATCCTTTCGGCCGGCCCCTTGCCGGCCGGCTCAATACGTCATACATCGGGTGCTCTCGGTGACCTTCGGCCGCTTCGTGCGGCGCTCGAGAACCGACTCGTTACTCGGTACATTTCTATGAACTATCTTTTGTCTCACGCGCCAGGCGTATTAATGAGTGTCTCATACAAGATGTATTAGCAGTCCTCGTGCACTCGCCGGAGCGCACGATATGAGTTTAGTAAAGCGCTCAAACTTTTTGACCATAATTGGAAATTAAATTTTTTATACCTTTTTGTATGTTTAAAAAATAAATATTAAAATGGTAATTTAAAAATTAAGATGACATAATATTTTGTAATTTTTAAATATTTTGAATTGGTGGTTCAGCGCACGGGCGCACTTAAGGTACAGCCGCCACTGGTTACAACTGTATACGTTGAAAAACAAGTCTTACTCTGTTGTATGTAACTCATACGCGGCGCGAGCGCGTGATTTTACCCACCTCGCGCCCCGCGTAAACAAGTGCATAGGCATTTACATCAGTTTAATCTGTTCACGTTTAATAATTACAACATTATGCGTCTGACAAATCCTTTATAAATAGTGTTTTAGTTGTTTTTTTTTTTAATTTGAATGGATGTAATGATCCATAATAAGATATTTTTTAGAATCAAAAGCAAAATATCATTTTTGTGGCTTACAACAACTTACGTGGGAGGTATCGATATATTGTACAAATTTCATGTCCTACAGACTGTTTTATAATGTATAGCTAGCTTCTAATTAGAACCTTTCATACAAGTAATTGTTCGTCAATAAATCTCATACGAATGTTTTTTCCTCTAGTTCCGCCTGGCAGACGGCAGCCGTCTCACAGGTCGTTTCAACCACTCTCACACCGTAGCGGATCTAGCGCGGTTCGTGGCCCGCGCGGAGCCGACCTACCAGCTGACGTCTTTCGCCTTACTGGCCGCCTTCCCTCGGGTGGAGTTAGACGAGACACAGACCCTGGCACAGGCAGACCTCTTGAATGCTACCGTACTGCAAAGACTCAAGTGATCACCTCATACACATACATACGGTGTGACGCGCGGCCACACTCACACATACACACACATGGTGTGACGCGCGGCCACACTCACACACTCACACGAACGGTGTGACGTGCGGCCATTCTCACGTCGTCTGTTAATAAACTCCCGTGACGAGGTTTTTGTAATTTTCTATATTATAGGTATGTGTTTACTATTTTGTTTATGTTCTATGAAGAATGCATTTATAATGAATCCTTGGAAGTTTCCACGCTTTGTATGATGTAAAAATTTATCTTCAAATTGTCATCGACTAGGAACAGGAATGAGTAAATTCATCAATGTTATAATAAGCATATGTAATGTAATAATGTTTAGATAACTATCGATTAATTTAAAACAATAGATTATTTGTAATAAAAATAAAGACATCTCTTTAGAGCTGACTGGAGTTTTATTTCTTTTGTTTATTATTATTACTAGGGCCTGGATTAATATGTAAATACATATTTTTAACTAGCTTTTGCCGCGACTCCGTCCGCGTGAAATAGTGACGGCAGATTTTTGGTTCTTCCCACATAGTTCCCGATCTTGCGGGGTTTTCGGAATGGTCGAGTTCCCGTAGAATTTTCAGGATAAAACCTATTTTTTTTATTCACAATGAAGTACTCTTAACCAACAACATATTTATTTGTTTATTTGAATAAAGATTAATATTATTATGTTGATACAACTTAAACGAATTATTTCGACCAAATTAGGTACCATAAAAACGGTTTTTGTGAGTTAATCTTAAAAGATAGACATATACTGTCGCGGACTGTTTTTAGATCATTAAAAGAGCTATTATTCTTTAATACATATTTTTTGTGTACCTTGAACCGTTTTCACGGCGCACGCAACGGAAGGCTTCAAAGATGAAATAATTTCTCCCGCTTTTTACACATTTACCGCTATATCTTTGCTCCTATTGGTCGTAGCGTGATGTTATATAGCCTAAAGCCTTCCTCGATAACTGGACTATCCAACACAAAAAGAATTATTCAATTCGAACAAGTAGTTTCGGAGATTAGCGCTTTCAAACAAACAAACAAACTTCAGCTTTATAATATTAGTATAGATTTACGCGATTTTCGGTCTAGAATGTGTTTTTTACATGGATTGCCATATTTAGACTCTGAAAAACCAACTTTTATTTTCCATATTTCAAAGTTAAGTCCATATTTTACAAGAAAATATCACAATCATCCATATATTCACAAAAATACATAAAATTTACGTTTTCTCCACTAATGTTTGGGATTAAAATAAAGGATTTAATACGCTTAAAAAAATTAATAAAATTCTGTGCAAAAGTTTTGAGGGCTGTAGACATGGCTTACACAATTACTGAATTAAGCAAGTTTAAGTATGCATCCATCACGTCATGTGACGTGGAGAGATCATTCAGCAGATACTGGGTGGCGCAAAAGTAAAGACCCTATTTGGTTCAGCTATAACATTTTTTCTAAATGAGAAAACTAGATTTAGGTTTTTTTAAATGTATATTTGTGCCATTAAATTTCGTACCATTAGGATTTAAAGATGATGTCTTTTAAATGGTGACCTCCAGAGTTGATACACAAAATTGGTTATGAGTGACGAAGCGCATTTCCATCTCTCAGGGCATGTCAATAAGCAGAATACTCGGTTCTGGGGCACTGATAAGGCTATATTTCAACCAAATGGTCAGTTTTCATTTTGATAATGTAAAGAAGCACGTCAATGTGTATTGCACCCAATTTGATAAGGCTAGTGTCATGGAAGTTGAATAAAACTGTTATTTTTTGTTAAAATAAATATTTCGCTATTTTTTTAATCGTTTTTTAAATGTAACTTAACGATGTACGTCACGAGTGACCATTTTCTTATACTAAAACAATTTTTAATTATGAAAGTATTTGATTTTATACTCCATATATTTTCCATATTTTTGATTTTTTCGTCCATATTTTATGTACATATTTTAGATTTTTTAATACATATTTATCCGGGCCCTAATCATTACAACTTTATAAACATTGCATAAAAATAATATCTGTTGAAACATTATACTATGAATAAAACACGTGATAGTTCTAGGTAAATGTTTATTTCGATTCTTCTATTCTAAACACATGCCAACAAGAAAGTGAGAAAAACCGCGGAATATCGTCATATAATAAAAATGTATTCAATGAGCAGTTTTGAGCAATACATAGCAGTATTGAACGAACGAAATGGAGGGACTCTAGAGAAGGGAATTAAATATAAATAGCGTTTAAAGCTAACATAATTATACAGAGATAACTTAAACCATTAAGTACGTATTGACACATACTGTCGCATTAAAGACAGAAGCTGCCGTTGAATCAGATTTCCTCTACAAATATTCGAGTTTAGGGCCTCAGTATTATCACAAACATACAAACGAATCGTTTGTAACCTTCCAAACCTTCAGGTCATCGACTAAAACAATATTATGCTTACTACTAATAGAATTGGTCGCTCGGAAACGACGCGATAAATGCAACGAACAATCCAACGCGGATGAATTATACTAAAATTATAAGAGAATTGAAACGAACAACACAACGACGCACGATTCATTTATTGTCATGATGTTTGTCGATAACAATCGCTTAGATCGAAATTAATGCAAATTATTGCGAGTCGACTTGAAACAGTATCGAGTCATAATATATAGTCGTATATAATATCTTACATAATATATTCAAACATCAACGTCAATATACACATCACTAGGAGTCCGAACAAGACAATACTTCAAAATATCACCTCCCAAAAAATCTATTAAGGATTACAGTAAATGCACGAAAAATAGTTGCCTAGTCTCCGGTCTCAGCGACGTGAGACTCAGTTCATTAGCGAAGACGGTACAGTTAAACGACCGACAGATTGTTCTACGTATTAAATATATAATAATGAATCTTAAACTCTCAATGTATACAAACCGCAACAGTTAGCTAATAATAAAACGTCAACATATATACAATCATACTAGAACTTCCGAACGGTGCTCGCCGATTATAGACTTTATTGCGTCCACATAAGTATCTGAATCGTAAGCTCAGAAGACGTACCCTTCATTATAATATAGACGAGAGAAAAATAGTGTCCATTTGAGAAAATATAAGCTTTGTGTCTTACACTATGAACAGTGCTACTTTACAAATATATATCATCTCCATATAACATTAATAATATCTAATTATCTAAGAACAGGTAATTGTCGAATTTATTGCGTATTCAATAAAAATATAAGTATTATATGTTAATAACTTCGATTAAATTCTATCAGATCAAACGATGAAATTTTAAATAGTCCAAGAGTAGTATTTATATATCGATATATGTAGTAACATCACTAATAACAAGTGATAGTGTTGTTCCCCGGCGCGGCCTGTGTCTGTCTGAAGTACAACACTATCCTACATCAACATGATCGTGTAACATATTTACATTATAAATTTTCAACAAACTACAAACCTCTAGGTCAGTGAATCTGATTTTATATATATTTATATAATATTTTTTTGGTCTACACTTTCTGAAGACAAAGTTTGTATTTAATTATCTATATATATTGTAATATATGTTAAAATATCTCTAGCCGCCTGTCTGTTTGTACATAGTGTCGTATGGCTTCTGTTAAATGCATCGCTGTCCCACTCTAGTACAGCGAGTATGAATACTATCATTCCATCTCCCTCGCACACCTCCTCTCTCTCTCGTGTTAACTTGGTACATACTGATGAAGGTCGCTAACGGATGATTAATAATTAACCGTCGGTTAACTGTAACCGTGGTTTAGTTCGTCATGTACCAGGTTAACACACGACACAGTCTCAGCGACTCGGTCTCTGTCAGAAGTAGATGACCTCCTCCTCGGAGGGAGGAGCCGCAGGGAGGGGGGAGGCTTGAGAGGTGGGCGGGGCTTGAGATGGGGGCGTGGCTTCCGGGGAACGCACGCGGAACTTGTCCGGCAGCTTTGGGTAGGTGTTTGTTCTGAAATAGAGATAGATATATAGTTTAGTATATAATATTCCAAGTATGGTTAAACATACACTGTGAAAGATATCATTTTAATTCTAGTCCTTGAAATAAGATAATAATACAGAAGCAAAAAAAATTGTCTTTGAGAGTACTGGTGTAATTTTTCTGAAATTATTACAGTTTTTTTTCATGTATGATTATTAATTTGGACTTAAATACTTCATCAACCAATCACTTACAAATATGTTTATTATTTTTCTCCAGCACTTTCCTAATATTCATTACAAAATCTATTTAGGTCTAATTGCTCTTATAAAGTAGCATGTTCTTTCACTACATAAATAAAACGAAATGAAATATCATGTAAGCGATATTATTGAGCGTCATTTAAGTAACATTACTGTAGTGACGTCATCTAGTTGTGAGTATTTTAAGTTGAATATATTTCAGTAGTTGTATTGTCGACGTTACTTCGTTATGTATATAACAGATGGCGTTAGTAGTACAATCAAATTATATCCGATAAATAAACTACACTTTTATATGCTTTGTTTAACAAATGACATATTCTGAGATAATAATAAAGGACTTCATGAAAGCACAAATCTATAAGCAAAACAGTATTTCAGTGAAGTGTACCACAAAATTGCTCGGAGTGTAGAGTAGAGTAATAGCTAACTCTTATACTACTTAAACCCTTCAATACACTGTGTAATCGGTGTCATTGCCTTTCTTACACACCGTAAACATATGTGTGTGTGTGTGTCTGTGTATGTGCGTGTGTGTGCCTGTGTGTGTGTGTGTGTGTGTTATTACCTGGTAGCCTTGTGTGTGTTGTGTTGCTGTGCGAGAGGCGCGGGCGAGCTGCCAGCGCGCGTGTGACACACAGGCGGCAACTGACGAATAAAAACACGTACATTATTATATATTAAACTATGATACATCACCTGTTAATATAATTAAAATCTTCACTTAGTTTAGAATATTACAATTATAACAAGAGACTTTTATAGTTGAGAAATGTTTATGAGGTATGGAGATATTATATTATCATATTTGAAACAATCTACATATACATAATAAATAAATAATCAACACTTAAAATTAATTCGATTAGACCAATATTTAAAACTTGATCATTCTCAATATTAAAATCAGTTAATCTGTGAATTTTTAACTATTTACAGTTGTAAGAAACTTAACAACAGTCAAAGCTAAGCTAATCTCTGAAATTAAATATAAATAATACCTATAAAAAAAACTACGTATTTTAGTTGAAGTAAATTTTACAAGAACATTATATTATGATCGTATCGAATGATACTAAGTATGTATTATTTAAATATTAGTATTTGTTACATTATAATAATGGAAATACTTAAAGTATTGGAACATATATAAGCAAATTATTATACAAAAAAATAATACATCAATTAATCTTAAGATAATTATGTACATGCATATATCTAAAAGTATAATATTATGTGCAAGTAAGACAGATATATCATCTGTCTCACTCTAAAATTTGTTTTGTACTTAAACAAGTTTTGTTTACCCACTGGTTGCCTTGTAAATTTTTTATAAAAAAAACTATCTTTGAATGATTATTCCTAACAGTGGCGGCTGTACCTTAAGTGCACTCGTGCGCTGAACCACCAATTCAAAAGTTTTAAAAAATTACAAAATATTACTTCATCTTTATTTTTAAATAACCACTTTAATATTTATTTTTTAAACATAAAAACGTATAAAAAATTAAGTTTTCTAATTATAGTCAAAAAATAGTTCATAGAAATGTACCGAGTAATGAGTCGGTTCTCGAGCGGCCGAAGATTACCGAGAGCACCCGATGAATGACGAATTGAGCCGTGATTGACATCTCGTTATGTTTTATTGCATTTTCTAATTTTAATATTTTAGTAAAGTGCACCACCAGTTTTATAACCCACCAGCCGCCACTGATTCCTAATCATATAAATAAATAACTTTATTTCAGACTCCTACTTTGCTTTTTTAGTTTATAGCTTGCTTGTGTGTATAACAAATGCTTAAAATGTATATCAGTATTGTTCAATGAGAAATCTGTTTTCATTTTAATAAGCCATCACATATATATTAAAAAGAACTAATGACTAATAAATTCATATTCAAATATAATCCTTACATAATGTCCTACAAATATTATAATTGCGAAAGTTTGAGTGTGTGTGTATGTTTGTTACTTCTTCACGCTCAAACAGCTGAACCGATTTCGATAAAATTTTGTATACAGGAAGCTGACGTCCAGGAATAACACATAGGCTACTTTACATCCCGGAAATCCGGCGCAGCTAGTAATAATATAATATTAATAACATCAATGTATAATCTACAAGCGCCATGCTTCATAAGCTGAACAGACAAAATGGTTGTAAGTACAGAGCTCGGTCCAAAGCCATTTATAACACAACATATAAACTATTCACCACTATATATATCTACTTAAAGCAACTCGTCTACTTACGTCCAAACTACACGTTTGTCAGTTAAAATACGTTCGGATACTCCGAGTCCTGAAAAACCATTTGATCTGTTTCCATTCACTTTACAAACATATGAATAATACTTTTAGGATATACGACATACATACATACGACGAAGGTCTAACTAACGTTAGCGTCGGCTCGTTACAATAAATTGAGTTTCATCTTAAATTACATTCATAATATTTATCAACTAAAAACAATCAAACAAAAAAGAGAAATAAGGAATACACTTAAATATAAATTTAAAATAATTTTAATAAAATGAATAAATAATTTTCATAAAATAAGATAGTTAAAACGACATATTGTCAAATAAATTGATTATCTTCTCTTAAATTCATAATTTTTATCAGCTAAATATAATCGAATAAACGAAAATATTTAAATATAAAGATAAAAGAAATAAAACTAAAATATCAAATAGCTTTCTTAAAATAAGGTACTTTATATATCGTATTGTGCATGTTCCGTCATACGTATGTATTTCTTTGAATAAACTATGTAATAAAGTGTATTGTAATATCATACTTGTTTCCTATGTAATAGAGTGTATTTTACCTCGTTAGGTGATTCGTGTAATCTCTGGTAGCCGGGCGGCGCTTGTTGATTTTTTCCACTCGCTAATTTCAACGGCAATTGTTGTTTTACCATTTGCTGTAACAAAAAATAATATTTACATCATAAAAAGTAAGTGTCGAGATTAATATATTATATGAAAATAAAAAAAATATTCGTGGAATCCTTCCGCGCGGTACAAGTGAAACTTCGTAATGTGTAAATGAAAATAGAATGACGTAGAAATCATTTCTAGTGAACTCATATTGTTTGTTTAAGATAAACTTTATAAACATTGCTCACAATTCACTATTGATTCACCCTTACTATCGCTCCATCACTTTCTATTCCATCTCCCTAGAAGCGTTGAACATTTAACACAACCTTATTGGAGTTCGCAGTAAAAGTTTAATTTCAAAAACATAATATTTATCGCGGATTAGAAGGTACTACATTTTATGACTACAACAACAGTTTCATTGCTAGTTTAACGTGAGCTATACTATAGTGAGATAGATAACATTTCACAGCTCAAGATATATGTAACACAAGCACTAGACAGACCCTGGCTAAAGCTGGGAAATTGCCAGGTAGATGAAGAAGTAGCACTAATATATACATTATTACACTACATATAGTATGTTATATCACCTGTACGGGAGCGCGGGCAATGGCTCTTGTCTCATTATGAGCTGACAGCAGCTGTGGAGGAGGTAGAACAGCGCCACGAACACTGCATGCGCTTAATGATGACTCAGAACCCGTTGAACCGCGGTTAGCTATAAACAATAATATTAATATATATAAAAAATAGTTACTCTCTATAAAAGCGAAACATATTAGATGGTGAAATTTAATTTTTGGTATGAATATCATAGTTCTCTTGAATATATCTTGTGTTTGTATCATTATATGTGCAAAACTGCGATCCCGACTTTGTTCGTGGGTAATAGTTATCTTTTATTATTCATATAGATAAAAATAAAATTTGTTCAATAAAAGCAAACTCAATTACTCTTTCTTATATCAACTTAATACTAGTGGCAGTTAAAAGCACACAAAGAGACAAATATATATATATATTTAAAGCCGAACATATTCGATAGTGAAATTTTTTTCTTGGAATCGGATATCATAAGTATTTTTTCAAAGGCCTCTTGAATATATTTTTGTTAAGAATAATATAATGGTTCAAAGGTATATTTTCTTCAAGGTCTATATAATCTTGTTAGATGATTAAAACATATTTTTAAATTGATACCACTTTACATTGTAAGTTAATAATATCTGTTAATCAGTTATATGAATATACAGGGTGACTGGTGAATTACTATCGATACTTGAGGACGTGATATATGACGATCATATATGACGAAATAAAAATTAATATAACATAAATATTAATAAACTTCTAAGTAAAGTTAACCAAAAGTTATGTAATTAATTACGCATCGTGTGAACACCCTACAGATTAGGTATACACACACACTCACACATACGCGTGCGCGGCGTGGTGTTGTATCAGCACGCCCCCACACGCGTCCACACTTGGAACACTTGGAACGTGTCAATTTATTTATACGGAAATTTTGTCAAAAATTAAGTGCCTATTTTTTTTACATAATTCGAATGAGAATCATGTACCGAGTATTCTCCTTAAATATTAAAAGTAATTCACCAGTCACCTTGTATATCAGAAGATTTATAACAAATTCAATACTAACTTCTCCATTTTGGTTCTTTTCTTCTATTAGTATCGCTGATACTTGAATCAGGTGACAGAGTTCCAACGCTAGCTATTTCCTCTTGAGATCCGCCACCTAACAAAAATATTATATACATTATAATTATTATGTAGCATTAACCAAAAATGTCATATAACAGGGCTCTATTATCCTGGTTAAGTTAGTTAATAAGAACTTTCGTTCTATCACATAGAGAGTAAAAATCTTAAAAAAATATAGTAAAAATATAGTATTAAATCTGTATTAGTTTCATTTTTATTCATTAAATCACTCATTAATTTTTAATTTGATTTAAAAGTGTACGAATATTAAATTATTTTATAAAAATACATATTTTAACTGAAAGACATATTTACATTTCAGAAACTCGGTAATAGACCTATTTAGACATGACTATTAAACATCAAAATGTGATAAATACTTTTGTTTGTTTTAGATTATGTAAAAATCTCATAACCATTAATTTTAAATGATAGCAAAAATTGTTATTTTTCTCTTTTTCACTTAAATAGCTATAATTCCATACTTCCAATATAAAATCACCTCAAAGGTAGAACAAACATAAACAAAAATGTAATGTATTAAATTCCTATTTCCTCCATCGTTACATACTGTACATAATCCTACTAATATTATAATTGCGAAAGTTTGTGAGTGTGTATGTTTGTTACTTCTTCACGCTCAAACGGCTGAAACGATCATGATGAAATTTTGTATACAGGAAGTTGATGTCCAGGAATAAGACATAGGTTACTTTACATCCCGGAAATCCGCGGGTAACACCGCGGGGCGCAGCTAGTAAAGTATATAATATCAAACCGTGTTGTTGTAATCTCTCCAGACGCCTGTACAGCCTCTCCCTCTGTTGTTCAACATCTTTCTGTTGTTCTTCTAGTTCTTGGCGCGCCGCCTGTAGTTGTCTGCGATCTGGAATATATATATGTATATATATTTATATGAGTTTGTACGTTTGTCATTACACAATATTACACTCAACTGTATATTAAGTAGTTAGTTAGAGAGAGGAGCTTGGATGGTAGAGGTGATTTAACGCGCGATAGTTAGGTCCCTTAAACCTACACCTGGGTCACAAGTCCCAGTCACTGTTGAAGTCACTATCTCACTACAACGATGGACCCGACACACGTACGGTGAATACATTGAATGATGAGAAGTTTCGTCTCTATACGATGTTTGCTCGTATGTATGTTTTAGCGTCCGTGTATATATATATAAGTATATATATGTGTGTGTACGTGCGTTCCTGTTTGCTTGTACGTGTGTATTAACATCTATGTGTATGTGTGTGTGTATCTCACCGTGTTCCAGCGCGTCCCTATCAGCCGTCCTCTGCGCCTCCCAGGCCGCCCTCTCAGCCGTGAGCCTGGCCTGAGCGTGTCTCAGTTCCTCTAGCTGCGCGTCGTGGCCACGCCCCCCGGCCCCGCTAGACCCCGCCCCCCCGCACGCCCTCCACGCACACACCTGCGCCTCCAAGCTATGTATGGTGGTTAGCTGCTGCCACACTATACATGTGAGCGTGTATATCGCGTGTTGTAGTTTTAAGGCAGCATTCGCTTCGTCCTTGATCCGAGCGTGCATTTGCGCTTCCGTTTCCGGTTCGCTTGGAACGTCTGACGCTGACAGACGTACGGACACACCTGGTGATGCATAAAGATTTAAAATAACATTAATTGTATAGGTTCTAATATATTTTTTGTTATATCGGCGTGAAAATCTTATAAAGATTATAATCAAAACCAAACATTAAAAATAGATATGTTACTCAGCTATATCATCATTTACATACTATAAGATAAACTATTTCTCTTAACGTGATTACTATAAGGGAGTAACAATTATATATACAGCCATCCTTCATTTATATACATATATGTAGTAATATTTCCTCCTCTACTTACCCCCTCTATGCGCGTCAAAGCCAGCGAATGTATCCGCCCTCCTCGGTAACGCAGGGCTAGTGTAATGTACCGAATGCCTCTCACCCGCTGAGCTTGTACTACGTCCCAAAGACACGCCGCTTAGTGACGACCAACCTAAAGAAGACGCCTCAAGAGCATCCTGTATAATTATTATTAATATTAAAAACAATAATATAGTATGTATTACTTATATGAAAATAGGTTTTGAATCTTCTAGTGCCATCTAGTTGATTAACAGTACAACTAATATGTATTTAATAAATATTCGTCGTAGTTGCGTCAATTTTCAAATAAATTAGTCTATAGAAAATATCCAGGGTGTTTTAATAGATTTATATATACTTATAAAAACATACGGTTTCTTTGTAAATGATATTTGATGAATATGGTTATACAAAAAATCTCTTATGGTTTGAACACCCTGTATATCCTAGTTAAAAAGTTTGTGAGTGTGTGTGTATGTTTGTTACTTCTTTACGCTCAAACGGCTGAACCGATTTTGATAATTTTTTGTATACAGGAAGCTGACGTCCAGGAATAACACATAGGCTACTTTACACCCCGGAAATCCACTGGTAACACCGCGGGACGCAGCTAGTAGTGTATATATTTTTAATTGTATGTATTACCTGCACGACCCTGCAGACTTCCTGCCATAGAGCGTGCGTGTCTGGAGTGGGGCCTGATAGACGAACGTACTCCGGGAACGACAAGCCCCCGGGACAAGGGGGCACTCCTGGAATATAAAACAAAAACACGTGTTAATATGAATACTAAAGGTATTTTAATATAATATATATTGTAATATAATGCGATTCTATAAAAAAAAACACAGATTTTAATGATAGTTTATATGATTAGAGCCCGTTCTTTACTTATAGGCCATACCTAGAGTTATTTTGTAAAAAATCACATGATACATTTAGTTTTGCTTTCTATTTGAAGCTAATTTGAAAATCCATGAGAATAGGTCTTTATCCTATAATATAAAATTGTTTTCTCGTTTTAACTAAAGTAACTATAAGTTAAAAGTGTAAAATTTGTATGTGTTTATCATCATTTTAGGATTTATTACTTATCCAGTGTTAAGTCACCGTGTAAGTTTCTATTATAATATTTAAGTATATGACACTTAAGTTTATTTTCCACTTCTATTATGTATGTTGTTTGTTAGACTTGTAAATATAAATTGAAAATTCAAACTGAATACTACATAAATATGATTTCAAACATTATCTCCTTTGTTTTCTATGGACGCCACATTCATTGTAACCTCTAAAATTTTATTTTTTTACAACTAAGTGATATAAATTAAGAAAATATATTTGAACAATATTTTTATATTGCACATAGGAAAAACACTAAAATTATCAATTTTCTTATATATAAAACCAGTTAAATATTTTAAAACATTAAATCAAAATTTTATTCTTCATTATTCGAACCTGTGACCATTCTAACGTTACCGCCATTATACAAACTGAGCCATCGTGTCATATATTCACCTGTGCTCGGTACATCTAGTGTAGAGCTCCCAGTATGTCCGACCATTTTCATATGTAACACCATTTTTTCTTCCAATAATTGTGCCTGCTCTCTGTCCTTAGCCCTCAAAGCCTCTAAAAAATATATATACAATCAATACAAATTCAATTTATATACTTATATGACATATAGGGAAAATTTCTATAGAAATTGTAGAGTAATAAAATAGAGATTTGTTAGAAGGATTTAGAATTAATTACTTAAATAGAGAGTAACATAGGTGTATAATATAAATTATGTATGGTAGGTACAGAAGATAATTTAGCATGCGGTCATGCAATGTATTTATACCTTCGATATTCCAAGACGGAGTATCATCTGTTTCATAATAATATAATAAATATTAATACATATAATAATACAAAGTAACATGTTTTATATAACAAAGTTTCCTATGTCAGTCTTAATACTGTGTCTATAAAGTTTATTTTAGTATAACACTGACCAGTAATCAGTCTTATATTCTCATGCCTCGCCTCCAACTGTTTCTGTCTCTCTTCCGCTGACGTCACAGTATTTCCTGTTTCAGATTCTTCTATTTCCTCAGGACAACTCTGAACTGCATTTCTGTTGGAATAATAGGAATTTATTAATAAATGCACACAAAAATATAGAAAAAGAGTCTATTTTTAATATAACATGTACAGCTTTTATAAAAATTCATATGATTTTTTATGTGATTTTTACGTCCAATGACAGTAAACTTATATAATTAGAACTAGTTGATGGTACTTTAATTAAACAAATTTTATTTTTATTAATACAAATAATAAAAATTAACCACATACAACAAAAGGACTAAGTCGGGGTCACAGTTTTGAAATGTATAAACTTTGATGTAAATAAAATGCTTTAATATAAACCTTTACAATATTTTTATAGCTGGCATAAATTTACAAGCTCTTTATTTTATTTATATTTTAAACCTGAGTGCTACCACTTACAATGTTTGAATGTTTCAGTGGCATTAACTCATATATAATAATAATAATTAAAAATGTATATACAACTTATATATCTACACCAGCATAATAAAGCTTATAATATAGAAATCTTAATAGTTATTAAGTTTACCGTATAGCACGTATCCATTGAGCGATGTCTTTGGGTCGATGAACTCTTAGTTCAAACATTTCGGGTCCCGGCGGTCCACTACATATTAAATACAAGCCACGCCCGTCGGCTCCTGCCTTCTCACGAACTAATAACTTCCATAGAGATACTACACCCGTCTGTAAATATATAGAAATATAATTAATATAACAACAAGTATAGAAGCAGAATTTATATAGCAAATGATACATACGAATATTTTCGGATTCACTAGGTGATTTTTTTATTTTTGACTATAAACTACATACTCCCGATGCTTATATATTCCCGAAAAAAAAATCGCGTAGTAAATCCGAAAATATTAGTTTCATTTAAATGAGTACTTGCGTATATCTTAGATGTCATTATTTATGTAGTAATTTGTATTGAAAAAAGATTTAAAAAAGATTCTCAAGTGTATATAAGTAATGATACTATTACTATTTTATTATTTTAAAACAGTATTACAATAATACATTTCAGTATAATACATGTATGGAGTGGTAATTAATTATTTCTATAATTATGTAATTAATACTATATAATACCTTATTATCAGGCGTGAAGAATGTGTATTTATTGTTGTTGTCGTGTAGAAAGAACAACACGTCCGTCAAAACTATCACTAGGAGCGTCTGCATTTTACTTCTACCTTGCATCAAAGTCGCTACACCTTCGAATCTGTAAGTTATTTATCATTTATATAAAACATAGAAAAAAATATAGATTTACACTTTATAGTGAAGTAATAAGGTCTATTGTTGCTAATTTGGTTAAGGTAGATTCCAAATACAGTAAAAATCATTGGTTATAATAAAGAAAATGCTAATTCTTTAAGAAAAAATAACATACTGGCAATATACAAATTGTTTATAATTTTTATCTTGTCTGGCTGGACTTATCATATAAAAGTTTCTTACAAAAACGAACTTTAAAGATACTTACGTAAGACTTCTATTCCCTTGCAGGATGTCGCTCTTCTTAAACTTTCTTCCGCGATAATTGGCGAATGACTTTGCATCAATACGATGATATATTTCCAATTTCCTATCTTCTCTCTCTTTTGCTGCCACTTGGTTGTCAACGTCGACTAGAATTTCCTAAAAAATAATTCAATTCATATTACAATCTTGTTTATTAACTTAATATACGTGTTAATTCTGTATTAAGCTTCTAGTGATAAAATTCTAAGTGAATATTAGTCATTGATAATTTTATATCTATAGTTATTGCTGTTGTTACATAAAAAAATTTTGGAAATGTAAATATTAATATATATATTTAATAGTTCCGGAGTTATTTCAACTAAATAAAAAAATAAAGTGCACATTTAATTTAGTTTCACCATTACCGATTATTGTGAATAATTAGTTTTATATCACATATAAATGTGTAAGTACCAATGTGATTTTTCCAAGTCATATGTACTTTCTAAGACTATTTAGACATCACTGATTAATGTTGATTCCCAAAAGAGGGTTGATGTCAGGCAGGCGGCCGGTCGTAAAAACAAATAAGTCAAAACTATTCACAACATGTAAGGCAGACCCTGGCTATAGCTGGGAAATTGCCAGGTAGAAGAATATATATAGCTATACTAACCTTCACACCACACAGTGCCTTCTGTAATAGTTCACGTTCGTGTACATCGTCGCCCGCGGTCTTAAGGAGCGGTTCTAATAGTAGGGGATACTTAGTGAGTCTCTGTGCCACGAACAACACGCACTCCGGAACACCCTGTACAGTTTGATAATGTTTTAGGCACGAGCGTTATATGTAGGGTGTCATATGCTTAGATAGTAATATGTATTAAATTTATTTATTAAACATTGCATTTATACAAAAAAATGTTCAGAAAACTGTAACTAATTTTAAATGTTTAATAATGGACTTAGTATGTAATATGGACTATGTGGACCTTAATTTAGAATTTTACTATAAAAATAAATATAGATAGGCATTACAGCTTATTGACACAAAAACTTAGAAGCTTTATATCGGAAGTTCGGGTCTATATTGTATTTTAATTCGATTACTTTAAATCATACGTTATAGAAAATTAGACCTTATCACATATAAAATATAGTCTACAGTCGTTTGATATCTTTAACAATATTAAATTTTAACCTTCTTCCTTAATAGTGGATTCTGTTGACATTTCCTTATAAATCGTGCGACCCTTGTCTCCCTCGCGCAAACGTCCTTGAAAACCTCGACGGCATCACGATGACGTGAACAGAACTCACCTGGAGAAAAACAATGATAGGGGTATTGAATAATATATTACAACATATTCCTACTAATATTAAAAATGCGAAAGTAACTCTGTCTGTCTGTCTGTTACGCTTTCACGCCTAAACCACTGAACTGATTTTAAAGAAATTTGGTACAGAGATGGAGTTGACTTTGAGAAAGAACATAGTCGTTATCCCAGGCTTGTGAAAGGTTCTCTTTCAAACGCGATATAACCGAACTCCACGCGGGCGAAGCTGCGAAGGAAAGCTAGTAGATGAATTATGATATTATTTCAGTAAATGTAAGGAAATCAAGAAGAAAATGATAAATATTTGTCAATGTAATAACGATATATTAAAGTTATTTATTATACTTCAGTTAATGAATACGAATATTCCTTTCAATAATTACTGCTGGTGACCCACAAGGTTTCTTATCTAATTTATACTTTATAAATAAAAGCATTCAAAATATATCTTCTTTCTAACATTTATTTATACACAATCTCCACATTTTGAACTAAGATCTTCAACAAGCCATGCTTGACGTGCAACAAATAGATAGTTTAAGTATTATGGCTTGTTCATAAATTTGGTTCAAATGAAAGCAATAGTTGTTGGTAATTGACTTTTGTTTTGACATTGGTGACAAAGCCAAGTTCAATCATAACTCTTAACAAAATTGGAATGCCATACAGTGACATTTTAAAAAACTATGATGTACAATCAGACAATACCTAAACTAATATTTATGCATTATCAATATTTTAATTTATTATTTTTTATACGTCATTTCTCACAAGAAGTTTCTTAGTATAGATCGCTCATAACCAATAACTTTGGATATTTTTTCTGTAAAATAGTAAATAATTTTCGTTTCATGTACATTGAAGCATATTGTATTTCATTTAATTTACCATATGCAGCCTTTAGCCTTTGATGATGTGGCGCAGCGAACGTATCAGCCAATATATCAGCAATACTGGCTACTCTTGGTCCAACACGTTGTCTAGCTCTCAGCCGAGCGAGCAACGCCGCGTGCAACGACCATAGTTCATCCAGACGAGGGAACATACGGGACACTTGGGACGAAGACACGCCTCCGAGGCGGGATAGACCATCGGCGAACATCTGGAGAGATGATTAATATAATACATAGTAGGGGATATTTCTATGAGAACAGAGGGTAGTTTAGAACTTGGATAACGCCAGTAGTAGGGGACATTTCTATGAGAACAGAGGGTAGGGTTTCCTTTAACATGCAAGCGAATAACAAAATAACATTCAATACAAAGTCCATTGATTTGCAGGAATTTTTATTAGGTGTTGCTTAACAGTTTGGTGTAGATTGATTTTTATTGCTTCATGTGTATGTAGAAATGTCCCGAAAATATTTTCTAAAGAATACTACGAGCATGAAGCAGCGATAACATATTTATTTCCTTTGATTTATTAAAAGATAGGAACGGATTATTTAGCAGGATTTAGATAACGCTACTTAGATATATATTTATTAGAATCTCAGAGGGTACATAATATATATTATTACGAAAATTTTACATCAAAATTAGGGAGAAAACTAAAGAGAATAGACAAATAACAAAACTCGGGATAGTATAGTAATAATGTGTTAAAATTTAGTCTTTACCTTTTGCATAAGTCTGACGGTCAAACAATGATGTTTTTCAGTTAATATTAGTTCATATATGTGCTCCTGGCGCTTCGTTTCTCTGTCACCGATTTGCCTGTGGATGAAAATAAACAATAACTTATTATTAATAATATTATTATTTTATTATATAGTACTTTAAGTTTTTAAGTTTTTGTTTCTTCGAACTGGTTCTCAATTTACTATTATCAGGAATAGAACTTAGAAGATGTTATCTTTATGCTTACAATTGATTCTATCAATGAATTGAACTAAATAATACGTTAGATAGAAGATCAGTTTGGATTTCCTTTACTAAAAATAAGAAAAAATTAAAAATCAAAATATTATTTAATCTTCCATCAAAGTTTTTCTATAGGTCGGATATTTATTACTACTTGAATATTTTTTCTATAAAAACAAAACATGTCAATCAGACGAGATACGTCAATGTCAAAAATGTCAAACTTAATGACATTTCTAACAAATACAACTTAAAATAAAGTGTTCACTTTACTTCACACTGGCATATCATCGGGGATAGTGCAAATCCGCTTAACTACCATTGGATTATTCCGCGTATCTACATTAGAAGCAAATTATGGGAAGAAAGTTTAAGCTGAAATATTTTCTAAATTAACGACTTTTAAGGTAATTTTATAACAATTAGTAATTATTTCGTGTTTAATTTATTATCACCCCGATGACATATCGTGTAGGTTTCACATAGATAGTTAATCCTACTAATATTATAATTGCGAAAGTTTGTGAATGTTGAACGGCTCAACCGATTATGATAAAATTTTGTATACAGGAAGCTGACGTCCAGGAATAACACATAGGCTAGTTTACATCCCGGAAAATAAACATTAATTGTATATATACTTACTTAGCAAGTCCCTTAGGTGCTCCTGCCGCCCATGTGTCAGGTTCTACAGCTCCTAACCCCAGTTGTATCGCCTCATCACCCAACTGTTCCGCTGTCAAATAAACCTCCGGCCACTCAGTTGAAGCGTCGTCTGATGCACTGGAAATATACACCAATAGGGCCTTAAACGTCAAGTCATTTAAGATAAACGAAGAAATTGTTATGTTGTTTTGCTGGCAATTGAATTTCATACTAATCTTTCTTCTTCTTCCTGGCAATTTCCCAGCTTTAGCCAGGGTCTGCCTTTCATTTTTTCAATTTCATACTAATCTATATTATGTAATATATTTTCATAATAAGAATTAACATCATTATTGACATTTTGACACAGCTAAACATATGTGCCCTTAGAGCTTTTTATGAATATTATAGTTATAAAAACAATAAATAATACATTTTGAAAAATTAACTTATACTTTGGTGTTATGTTTCAATTGACAAATATAGAAAAAAACTTAAAGGTTAAGTTAAAAAATATATATGTTTAAAAGAAATTTCATCAAGAAAAATACAATTTCATAAATATTATGTAACTCCAAATATATTCATATAACCTTTATATATAATACAGTAAAACCATAACGAAAAAAAAAATACGCAATCGAAAAGCAGAAGCCACATCCAAATACATACGAAATTAAGGGCCGAATGTAAACCTCTTTGGAGTCAGTACAAAAATTATATTTCACAGACCATTACTTGAAGAATGGGCGAAAAAAAAAACAAAAGAAAATAATACTCACTTGCTCTGATCGTGCTTGTGATCGGATCCGTCTTTATCGTCATTATAAATATGACTCGTGCTAAAATAAAAAAAAATGAAATTAAAAATGTCTTCCCCTAAAAAAAAAATTAACGCCTTTTAATCCCAGTATGATTCTTTTGACATGTAACAAATTAACACGGGGTCATATTTCATCCGACAATACACATCTTAATCAACTGGGATCCATAAATTTCCGATAAAAAGTTTCTTTTATTCATCAAAGCCTAAACGATAAAAATAAGCACAATAGAAATTCTCAGATCATTAAAATAATAACAACATGCAAATTTTGATAATTGTAACGTATTAAAACAATAATATAAATTAACGCCTTTAGAAATATAATTTTGTGTTACACGCACTTGTAATGTAGTGCAAAATTTTGTGATGATTCTTTTAAATCAACGATGTATTCCTATATACTAAAAATAAACTTAACAAAAATATAAGCATCGTTATCCACCTATAAAAACGATGAACAAAAAAAACTGTAAATAAAATGTAAAGACAATTTTCACCACGACTACGACAACATCTGTAAGAGAAAGTTCAAACTACCTTCAGATAGAAAGATACACAAGTAAGGCGTGGATGATTCGAAGACCTAGGAGACTTGACAATACATACGACACTACACTGGAAGCACTCTCATATAAAAATAACATGGTTTTATTAATAATACATTTACAACAACTTTTTTATTAAAGATTATGATGGTAGTATGAAAATAAATGTCCTAGAATTCAATTGCAGGTATATCTTAAGAATTTTTGGGTTTACATTTGTGTTAGGATATTTTCTATGACATATTAGTATTTGACTTCCAAAAACGGTTCCTTATATAGAATAAAAACCAGTACTTTCTTTAACATTTTATATATTATGTTACATTATAATAAATATTAAAGTGCTTCCAGTGTAAAAAATTAAGGAAACAAAATAAACAACCTGTAACAACGAAGATTCGTATGACAAAGAACAGACGAGACGATGGTACGTGCGATGGAAAAGACGGAAACATACTACATGACGGATTTTAATCGTGGGACCGTTAATCAAATTATTTCATTAAAATTCCATTACGAAATACTTAAAAAAAATTCTGCAATATTAAACGTGATTTTGGACGTCATAATCGATGAGAATTCCGTACGAAAATCATTTATTTCGACAAACATCCAATGGAAAACTATTATATTGTATGGCCAGCGATGAAAATCCGTATATGTACTCACTGTACTCCGAGCTTGGTGGCCACGCGACGCCACGGAGAGTAGCACCCGGAAGACTGCTTCTTACTGAACAATAACAATACACACACGCCTATACCCTTCACTTGTAGTTGGGGAATTTTGAATTGCTATTATATACAGATTATACTATACTGTAAATCAATGATTCTAGTGTTCAAGCGTGTATGGAAAAAACTATTGAATACAATTTAATAATTTTTAAAATCTGTAAAGATTTTTTATGTTAATAAATGGTAACGATTTTTTTTATTTTGTTTTTAAATTGTGAATTTTGTGAACTGGAACGAAATACTAAGAAACTTTGTGAATAGAGAGAAAAAAAATCAAATAGTAATAGGTAATAAAAATATATCTAGCTATAAAATATAAACTTACACGGAAAACTCTGTTGTAACTATGTTTTAAGGATTTAAAAAGACACCTCGATCTGTCCGAAAACCAAATTTTTATCTAAAAACAAAACGGAATTAAAAAAGGAAACAGAAACAAAGAAAACCTATATAGAAGAACAAATAAAATCTAGCGAAAAGGTAAAAGAAAAATTAAAGAGCAAAATTCTTTATTATTAATAATAACGGTCTCATACTTGTGTATCTTCTTATAAATATCCCTTAATTCCATACGCAAAATAAACAAATATATCTAAAATGCATACAGCGCAATTTCTCGGTACCCTTCCTAGGCAAAATACAAAGCAGCAAAACATATATATAAATTATATAGGTACGAAATGCAATTATTTTTAATATCCTGTAAATTTGTATTATAACATATTAAAATATCACCTACCTGTTAGAGTTCTGTGATTGACCGGAAACGGAACTACGTTTGCTGCTTTTACCGCTACTGGCGCTTAGGGACTTCCCCACAGATGTCTGGAAAATTATTTATACGATCGATACATTACTTTTTTTCTTATATGAATTTTACATATGAATTAGTTCTTATATGACATTAAATACTTAGAAAACATTAAGGCTATAGCCCATGGAACAATTTAATATTATAAAGGTGGTTCAATTTCAATCTAATTATGTTAGAATCTATATAACTTAGTTCTGAAACGATATATGAAGGGTCAAGGATAGATTGTTATTGGCTTCATAACTAGAAATTAATTTCTTATACGGTATATTTTTTTGTTGTTAATATTATACAAATAATTATGTATTTCATACTGACCTTGGATGATTTTGGTTTATTGCATTCAACAATGTAGTCTTTACAAACGTTCTGATGAACCGTCATAGTACAATCTGGGAAACAAAAATAAAACTATAACATCGCCTATATAAATTTATGTTTATGTGAATGTATATATACTACTTTAATATGAGGCTAAACTATGTCCTTTTAATTGTTCTAATCTATCTCTCCACCAATCTTCAGCCAAATTCGTATAGCCGTTCTTGAGTCATACATAGTGTAACTAACAAAACTTTCTTCTATATATTAGATATATAGTATACTATCTTTCCGCCTGCAGCTTCGCCCGCGTGGAGTTTTGTTATATCGCGTTTCCAAGAGAAACTTTCAAAAGTCTAGGATAGAAACTATCCTAAGTTCTTTCTCAAGGTCAACTCTATGTCTGTATCAAATTTCATTAAAGTCAGTTCAGTGGTTTAGGCGTGAAAGCGTAACAAACAGACAGACAGAGTTACTTTCGCATTTATAATATTAGTAGGGATATAACATACTGTCACAGTATAGAGCCGGTTTATCAGCCAGGTCTCTTGCACACCAATCACATGCACCACCTGCCGCGGCCGCTGACCACACGTGAGAGGCCTTGCGAGACTTGTCCTATAATATAATTAATATATTATTAATATTATTTTAACACTAGCTTTCCGCCCGCAGCTTCGGCCGCGTGGAGTTCGGTTATATCGCGTTTCCAAGAGAATCTTTTCAAAAGTTTTGGGATAAAAACTATCCTATGTTCTTTCTCGAGGTCAATTCTATCTCTGTGCCAAATTTCATTAAAATCAGTTCAGTGGTTTTGGCGTGAAAGCGTAACAGACAGACAGACAGACAGACAGACAGAGTGAGTGACTTTCGCATTTATAATATTAGTAGGGACTAATATGAAGAAAATTTTATTTATTTTCTATATATTGAAAATTTGGATGGATTTTGTCAAATTTTGTGGGTATAAATTTTATTTATAACATTCTGAATGATACATGATTGGAGAATTTTACTTATTTAGGGTTAATTTTAATAAATAGATTATTTTTCAACATATAAACATACTGTACCCGAAATCAAGATTTTCGATATTAATTTAATAACTTGAATGTTTTATTTGATCAAAGTAATATATAATAAACTTTTTTTATTGTTTATAATAACAGTCATTCAAAATAATTCATTCAATCATTATAAGATTACATATTAAGAATGAAGGAATTTTTTACAGATTTTTTTTCAGAACCGCAAAACATTATAGATCATTAAAAATTATGTCATTGAAATTTAAATTACAATTTATATACTTGATTCAAATTTTAAAACATCTTTTTAAATTTTAATCAATACAAGTTAGTTAATTTCAATTACTTTAAATAAACTTTCAAATAGAAAACTAAGTATTAAACATAGTTAAACCTCGCATCATCTTTATAGGGACAGACAATATAAAAGATTCTTAACATGAATGTCTGACTTCAATTAAAAATATAATTATGTTACACGAATGTTTATTTACTATTAAATAATTCTCACAAGTTTATTATTATGAAAATTATATATCTTTTTTTTTAATTTTGTTTCAGTAACATTTTTATGGTTACTATAAGAATAGTTCCAAATAAAATCAATATGAATAAACTAATTCTTTAGATTACCTACGAACTAAGCATAATTAAGTAAAAAAATTTACCCTAAGTCCGCTAAGATTTGAGAAGGAATAAAATGCTTGTGTGCTTATATAAAGTAAATTTATATTAAAACTATATTCAAATATATATTCAACTTAGTTTTTTCATTATATTTATATTTTCCACATACCTTCTTCTTTCTAAAGAACAAACTTCCTCTCTTACGCCGTTTCTCAGCGTGATGATCGAATGCGGCTCTGTTATAACATTAATATATTAAAAATCCACATAAAAATAATTAATCAACTTATCATTATAAAAAATATAAGCAAAGCTGTGCTTAAAGCATGCACAAAATTAACATAAATTAATTCATCTATTTCAGACTGACACTGTAAATAACTTATACTACTTACATGTATCATTACTTCATGTAATGCACAAACGAGATAAATATATTATTTGTGTAATGTATTTTCTATACTTACATAATTATTTGTAGGACTCAACTTTAACAAAATACTTAGTTTCCAACGCCTTACTGACACTTCTACAAGTCTATCTCCACTATTATTATATATGAATGAGAAAATCAGAATCCATTACCTCACTCGTATTAACATATCGCTGTCTCATTCCCACCTATACCATTATATCTATGTCAGAGAAAAAAACAGTCACTGATGTAGGAACGCCAGCCAAGAGTATCCCTTTACCAAAATACTCACAAATTACCGACACACGACTATCTTGCTCTTACTTCCACCATAAACTATAAATCCGAGCGAGACAGTACCATTACCAAAATCATTATCGCCGTCTCGCTCCCACTTCCGTGACAATCTATACATCAGAGCGAAAAACACTCACTGATGTAGACGCCATCCATGTTTATCCCTTTACCAAAATACTCACAGTTTACCGACACACGACTATCTCGCTCTTACTTCCACCATAAACTATAAATCCGAGCGAGACAGTACCATTACCAAAATCATTATCGCCGTCTCGCTCCCACTTCCGTGACAATCTATACATCAGAGCGAAAAACACTCACTGATGTAGACGCCATCCATGTTAATCCCTTTACCAAAATACTCACAGTTTACCGACACACGACTATCTCGCTCTTACTTCCACCATAAACTATAAATCCGAGCGAGACAGTACCATTACCAAAATCATTATCGCCGTCTCGCTCCCACGTCCGTGTCAATTTATACATCAGAGCGAAAAACACTCACTGATGTAGGAACACCAGCCGTCTCCAGCCTTTACCAATATACTCACAGTTTACCGACGTAGAACTATCTTGCTCATAATCAATAAATCCGAGCGAGACAGTACCATTACTAAAATCATTATCGCCGTCTCGCTCCCACTTCAGTGTCAATCTATACATCAGAGCGGGAGACACTCACTGTTCCAAGAACGCCAGCCGATGTAAGCCGAGGTGCTCCTGAGTGTTGTTCCTTCTCGGCTGGCTGGCGACCGGCGCGGACGTGTCGTCATCACTCTCCGTCTCGCTCGCACCACCAGCTGACAGACTGACAGCGAGTGTCATACACCAGTTCACACACATTAAGTGATATAACGGCTAAGCGGAGTGCCAAAAAAAAATCACATCCACATAGACATGCATATCGATAGAAATTAAACATGCAAATAAATTTAATAAAAATCACATACGTATTTAAAGTATTCAATTTGACGGCACTTGGTTCAGAAGAAGCGAGTGATCTATATTTTATTATTTCTTATATGACAAGAACATCTATATAAAGCATATTTTTCTACTGAATACTATATAAGAAAATCATTCACTACTTCTGAAATTAGCCAACAATTAACAAGCATCGGGTTTATTCCTAATGAATTGAACCCTTTAGATTGGCCCAAATATACCATAACCATTTTAAAATAACCTGACTATAACGTTTGAACAATCACATATTGAACTTATCCCAGGACATTGAGCTTTAAAACATATCACATTAGAACCATAATCCCTTGAACATTGGTCCATGTACTCACATATTAGCGGCGGGTGGTGGTTGTGTTGGATGTACAGCAGCTACTATGCTCGGTGTAGAGACGGACTTCTGTAGCGGTAGTCGCGGCAGCAGTCTGCTGGAACTTGTATCAGCTGCTGCACGTAATGCTGCTGTCACCTTTTCAAACTCCTTCTGGAAATTTGAATACTTGTTATTAGATGGGTATAGGATTACGCTTTATAGGGTGTGTATAGGATTAAGCATCATAGGTTTTTACATTCACTTTTATGTATATTACTTAAAACTTAAAAGTCAATATTTTTTTACATTTGTTATGGGCTACAAATATATGTTTAACTAGAAGACCCGGCGAACTTCGTATCGCCCTATAATCAAGAAATATCTGTTACGTTTTTTTAATAAATAAAGTTAGGTTATACCTTAGCCTCAGAAACACGTAGTGGTTATACTATTATGTATTAAATAGTCGTTCATATATGACGTTTGTATTTTTAACATAGCGCCATCTATTTAATATTTAACTCAGTCAATAGATAATTGTAATAGTGACAAATAATTTTCTTTAATAGACAAATAATTTTGCAATAAAATAATATTGTGTGACTATAAATTGAGATGTAAGCTATCCTATCTTTCAAGTTGGATCAAAATACACACGGATTGCAAATCAAATTTAAAATCGGTATAGTAGTTTAGGATTCCATCGCGGACAAACACGTGACACGAAATTTTTATATATATAAAGATTTGTATTTCATCTTTTGGCACTGTACTAGATACACGAGTTTTAATCTAGTTTTTAATACATAGTTAACGAAAACCAGGGTATATTAACTTACAGCTAAATCATTGTCATTCAAAGAGTGAGTTGAATGTCGTACTGGCCGTGATACTTCCCCCTCGGACTCCATAGATGATAGTGAAGCGCTGTGACCATTCAACGCACTGGAAACAAATATTATAATAAAAAAAGTCCCAAATAGGTCCATTACTGTTACTAACAAGAGAAATTATTCGTCATTTTTGCATTAATATCAACAATATTAGAATTGAAAGGAGTTAACTTACCATTATTCTACTAAAACTTCATTCTATTTTTAAAATTTCAATACCTATCTTCACTTTACTAACCCCATACTTGATACTCCCTAACTTGTTAACTTCCCATACTTATTAAAACTAGCTCAATCGAGATAGGTTAGAGAATATAGCCTATCTCTATAGCTCAACCTAGGAGCAATAGAGATAGCTATATTCTCCTGACTCCTCCCCCCTCCATACCTGCGTTGTCTGACGTCATGCCTGGCACCCGGTTCAAGGGCCGCCCAGGAACTGCGTCTACCCTCATCACGTCGATCCCACGTACCCCACTGTCGAGACTCACCTGAACGAAACGATATATTGAAATTGTATGTGGATATTTTTATATGAGGTTTTTGTATGCCATATATATGGCTTTATAGACAACTAGCTTTCCGCCCGCAGCTTCGGCCGCGTGGAGTTCGGTTATATAGCGTTTCCAAGAGGACCTTTGAAAAGTCTGGGATAAAAACTATCCAATGTTCTTTCTCAATGTCAACTCTATCTCTGTACCAAATTTCATTAAAATCAGTTCAGTGGTTTAGGCGTGAAAGCGTAACAGACGGACAGACAGAGTTACTTTCGCATTTATAATACTAGTAGGGATGTTATTAATAGTGTACTCACTACTGCCTTTTCTACTCTGAGGATAGAACTCAAGATGTGTTGGTGAAGGGCATTCTTGTTCAGGAACACCGTCCTTGCAGAGAGACGGACACGACGTACTAAGACGACTTGTCCCTGTTGCCTATGACATGTAAAAAATTGCATACAATCGATTATATTACTGATTTAAGTTCCAAATTTTTCTGACAACATAGTTTTGCCGTTTACTATTATAAGGTTATAAAAAATTTCGTAAATTCTTTCGTAAAATATTTATAAGAGTTACTAAGAAGTAAGTGTAAAATTGTGCATATAAGATATATATTCTTCAAATATTAATGTCACATATATAAATTTATCACACAGCTTGAACTCCTGAGCAATCAGCAATCTATGTTACTGCAACATGTTTACAAGCAGCATAACTCACCAGTAACGGCAGCGGTGCTGCTCGCATGCGCTGAACGGCAGCATGCAGCCGTCGTAACTGCTGCAAACTGTCATCTAGAACACCTGGAGAATGCGGAGTTACACTAATCGTCGGCACCTGGATGAATTAAATCATATTAGTTTGAAAGTCTTTCTTTATATTTAAATAATTAGCTCAGGATAACCAATATAGAGAAGAAAGACATAATAAGATCTAAGATGTTTTTCGAGTTTTCATTTAAATGAAACTATAATTTTTTCGGATTACTGCGCGTATTTCGTTAGTAACCAGAAAAATAATCGTTTCATTTAAAATAAAAACAAATTCAATTACTTATATTATTATACGATTGGTATTGATGAAATAATTGGATTGAGAGACAACTTTGATTTACATAACACACGTTTTATATGAAGATAGAAACAGAATATATAACAACTTGTCTTTATAACAACTCGTGCAATTTAAGACTTTACTTTTTACAAAAGTATCTAATTAAATTCAGAAACTACAATAATATTATAGAAATGATTTTATACACTAGGGCCGAATTTTTCTTAAAAGCAATTTTACTCAGTGGTAATGACTCACAAGCAAATAATACGAATTTAAGTAAACCATTAAAGAAATATCTTAGAGCGTATAAATACGAGAAGTTTATTTCTTGAGTTACTACTAACATATCAAACAATAATAATTGTCTTTAGTTTCCTGTCTACAATGGAAATAACGACTAATATAGAATTAGAAGCTAGAAGTATAAGTAGAAGAAAAGCTAGAAGTATTACAAAATCAAGCATAAAGACTAGAACACAGGTGAAGATAATAGAAGTGTATTAAAAGACGAAAAAGTGCAAAAAATATATTATGGTACTTCTGTAGTATTTCATTCATATTGTAGTGCAAGTTTTTCATTAATACATCTTTGTATATGATAGTATTAAATGGCCTGAAAAATCCCGAGCCTAACACATACGGGGCTAGTATTTTTCGTCATCTTTTTTTCAGTAAATGCTAACCTTCAAAAGACAGCTGTTAAAATTTCATGATATTCTATTCATTAGTTTGTGAGTTAATGTGCTAAGAGTGACGCAATTTTTGTTATTTTCAAAACAATGTATCAAAAACAATTTCGTGTTTTAATTTTCTTCATGGGAAAAAATACCGTTGCAGCAATGAAAAGTGTTATTGGAACTCTGCTATATTAGAAAAAACAATAATACGTTGGTTTGCTGATTTCAAATCTGGTCGTAGAGACACCGCTGATGAAGAACGCAGTGGACCTCCTAATGAGGCGGTAACACCAGAAAACATTGAAAAAATCTACAAAATCCTTTCGAATTATCATAAAGTGAAGATGCGTGAGTTACCTGACATTGGAAAGATATCAAAAGGATCATTGGCTTTATACTGCATGAGCATTTAATTATGAGAACGCTCTGTTCAAAGTGGGTACCAAGTTTGCTCACTGTTGATCAAAAACGAGAACATGTTGAAGGTTCCGAACAGAGTTTGGTCATGTTTAAAAGTAAGAAAAAGTAATCTTTGAAACGCTTTGTGAAAATGGATGAAATATGGATCTATCACTTCATTCCGAAATAAAAACGATCGTAATTTGAGTGGACAGCAGCTGGTAAACCTCCACAAACATCGCACAAGTGAAGAAGTTGTCGCTGAAACTAAGGCCTATTTTAAGGCAAGAGATAAATTGTTCTACAACAATGGTATTGAAATGTTAGAGTAGCGCTGGAATGATTGTTTTGCTCTTGATGGGGATTACGTTGATGAATAAAGCTAATTTTGAACCAAAAAATCTTTGTAATGAGATCTAAGATTTTCGCGAGTACTCATTTAAATGAAACTAATATTTTCGGATTTTACTTAGCGTTTTTATTTTTGATTACAAACGAGACACTCACATCTCGTCTGCCCGTGATCACGGTTGCTGAAAAGTAGCCGAAACGTCGGAAGTATGTAGTTTTATTTAAAAAATCTTTGTTTTCTTTATTCGACCCGGGATTTTTCAGACCACGTGTTATATTCTAAGAATATGAATGAACTTTTATTTCTACGTATTTAATTTATCTATGTTTACAACATATATAAACAATATATTTGTTTGTCATTACTTGTATCGGTACCTGTGCCCTGGCCATGACTGGGGCCGGGTGTTCAGTCACTTCGTCTTCGCTGCTGTCAGAGCGACTGTCGGAACTGCCGCCGCCTTCGTCTGGGAATAATTAAAATAGTTTTTATTATAAATCATTATAATTACACTACATACGATACGATTTAATGTGTTAATCTTAATCTAATATCCAACATGTTTGAAAATAGTAGTAAGTAGACTTTAACCTATTTTTGAAAAAATAAAGTACATATTATGTTTACTAAAAGTTTCCATAAACATAATACACACGGAGACATTAAAAGTTTTTCATCAATGTATTGCACGTTATAGTATTAACGTAGATTTGTATATGAAAAACAAATATATTTTCGTATTTGATAGGAACAAACTTGGACTATACATAAGTATCCTTCTGTTTCCAAAACTGTTATGAATTTGAAGTTCATATTTTAACAAAAAACCTTTCAAGTGATCCAAATTATTTGTAAATCACTTTATAATTAAAATAAATAAATTGTTTCACTCAAAAACTTGAAACACGATAGTTTAATTAAAAATGTAACTACAATGATATAATTCTTTAATATTAACTTCGAATTCTGGTAAAAATGTTCAATTTAAATTTCAATCCAACTAACAATTATGTTGCCAACAAAGCTAGATCTATTATCTGTTTGTTATTAATAAAGAAGAAAGCGGAAATCCAGCGTCCCTGTAGGAAATATGATGTGGAAAGTAATATCCATCGGAGATAAATTACATGTTATAACTTTACAAGTATATATATATTTAAGTTCAGCTAATATTAATCAGTGGTGGTCTAGTGGTTAGAAGGGCTGCCTCTCATGCACGAGGACACGGGTTCGATCCTGGCCCGGGCAAGTACCAATGTGATTTTTCCGAGTCATATGTACTTACTAAGAATATTTAGCCATCACTAATTAATGCATTCCCAAAGAGGGTTGATGTCAGGCAGGCAGCCGGTCTTAAAAACAATTAGCCAAAACATGTAAGGCCGACCTTGGCTAAAAGCTTGGGAAATTTCCAGGTAGAAGATTTAAGTTCAGCTAGTACAGTAAAAGCTCCTTATTCGCGCTTCCTTTATTCGCGTTTTCACTATTCGCGGATTAAAAAAATGCTACCAATTCCTATATTCGCGACTAAAAATTTCTTTATTCGCGGATCTAATAAGTACATACATAATAATAAAATTATTCCAAATAGGTATCCAACACAATATCCTTGTCAAATGGACTAATTAAAAAGTAATATAGATCTTATTACAACTTTACCTAATTACTTTGCGATTTCTTTATGAACATTGATCCGTTTATGGAACGAAGTCTTATTTTTAAGAGGCAAATTGCTAATGCGACTGCTGTGTATCAGTCTGAATTGAAGGAGCTTTTAAAAACTGCCAAGAAAGAAAAAATTACAAAATTCTTCAAACCATTGCCTAAGCCTTAAGATAATTAATTATAATGATCAAATACTTCAATTAAATATTTTTTTATATAAATTTGTTGTTTTTTTTTGTCACCTAGGAACGTATCCCCTATAATCCCATATAAATAACCATTCCGTATTCACGGTTTCTGTATTCGCGGTATATTTACGGAACATATACCCCGCGAATAAGGAGCTTTTACTGTATATATTTTGTGTTTACCTAAATTATGAAAAAAATCTGTATCATTTATGTAGTTACAGTCTACTAATTTCTATGTGTTTTTTATTTCAAACTCACAGCAAATAAGTATGAAAGTAAGTGAATTTACTTTTTGTTTACTTCAAGTAGGTATTTTGTTTAACTAAAATATTCGATTAATAGCTAAAATAGATTGTTATGTTGTTAGCCAAAATATCATATAGAAAGATAAGGGGGAAAAACATATGAAATAGACTTTATAAAAAGGTTCCATTTGAGAAGAACTATAAAAATAATTTTTAATTTATACAGTTATTTTCAACTTATAGACGAATGTTGAAAGAAATATGAAGAATAAGCTCCTACTCATAAAGTGTATAACGATTAGTTACTCTTTGTGCTTAAGAAGAGTGTCTATAAGTATTTTTGAACAAGTGAGTGAATTTAAATACTGATATCATTTCCGAACCGGACTAGAAGAAAAGTAGTAGGCAGTAGAAAAAGTAGCAGAAAAAGAGTGTATAAGAAGTAAAGAAAAAATCTCTTGAAAGCAAAATATCATAAAAAAAATCATTAGCGTATTGATATATATAAGGTGTTGTTCAAACTCATATTCGCATATGTAGTTTTATCGATTTCATTCAATTCAAAAAATAATATAATTTTGTAAATTTTGAACTTCAAATTCGTCTCTTCATTTCAAATATTCCAGAAAAAGTCTTTTACTAATTGCACAAATATTTGAATAATATTTTAAAATTTCTATGCAATTACAAAGTTCCTTTTGTTATGTAAATTTAATGATTCTTAGCAGTTTTTTTGCTAGAGGAATTTTGTATTGGAAAAACAAAATCGTAACACTGACTATAGACTTGTTAAATAACTTAAGTATTACTCTCCTTAATAATATTAAGTATTAGTATCCTAGTAATGACGAGAAACATTTCTTTAATATGTACTCTAATGTAAGCTTTATCTAACCTATAAACATATTGTATGTATGTATGATATTAAAAAAATATTAGTTCACTAGTTTTTATGGGTCGAACAAACATACATCGCTTCATACTAACACACGTACTTCTTATTTTGTAGTCGGTTAAGTATATCGAACCAGTAAGACCAATATCTTTTCCATAAAGTAAGTTTCATATTGTGTTATATAAATATAATTATCTATATTTTATACAATATTTTTAATATTATCTAAAATAGCTTTTTTAAAAATATAACATCAGCCATTTTGAAAGCCACGTGAAGCCTTACAGCAATAAACTGTTACACCACACGATATGAGGGGTAGCACCCTATTTTAACTTGAAGAAAATTATAGAAGAATATTTTTATGAAAAAGTATTCTTTAACATCGAACTATGTATGTAATAAAGAAAGCATATAACATATTTTTCGTATATAATATGTATATAAGGTATGACGTAAATCGATTTTTATAAATTAATAAAGATTAAAAATGAAACTATACGATCATATTACGTTTAGTGCATTTACAAGTAAATATTTATTTCATACATACATGTGCATAACTCAATAAAAGAGAAGTTGTCTATCCTTAAAACTTTGATACATAATAGGGTCTCAACTGACATATGACCTCTATGCTTATACAACCAATAAACACTTAATAGAACATCGACGAAAACCTCAAAAAGTAATACATAGCATTTTACTGAGATTTTATATGTTTATAATACTTTTTCCCGCGGCGTCGCCCGCATGACCTTCGAAATTGAGATCAAAGAGAAATGTATAAAGTGTTTTCAAACAAGACATATTAACCAACCATATACTATACTATTTATCACGTGAGTTCATACAACTTCATACACAATACAACTGTTATGTCTTCATCTTACAAGAACTACAAGAAATTTCGGGACAAATTACATCCTACGCCTTATTCTGAAGTGCAAACTACATATATCAATGATAAATTTAATCAAAATCCGTTGAGCATTTTTTGTGAGAAAGAACAACATACTTTCTTATTTAAAGAAAAATAAAATAGTAGTATTTATGGCCCATCTGATTCATTTTTAATGATATATAAAAGATTTCGTACACAGAGAATGTACTTATCAAATATATTATCTCTTATCTTCGCTCTATAAATATTTTTTTTATAATAATAATAAAAAAAAAACAAATTTATTTATATATGTAGAGAATAAAAATCACGAATAAATACATAATTATGCCCACAAAGTAAGATAGCATTTTAATTTATTAACGAGTATGAAAATTTTATGAAATGTAATTTTCCGTACCGGGTTTATAGGTCAGGGACATCCGATCCCCGGGAGAAGCTGCATAATATGCTTACCCTTAGTATGCGTTAAACTGAACACGAATAGTTTTAACGTTAAGCATGTGAGGACTTGTTAATGAAAAACTGTAATGTGTGCATTTAGTGACTTTGTAAAACATGGTAAATGAACTGATCCTAAGTTCTAACTTTCTGATCCTAAGATCTTTAGTTGAAATATCATTGTTGACGTATTTATATAAAATACTAGCTGACCCGGCAAACGTTGTTTTGCCATATAAAAAAATAGGGATTGGTGATAAAAAAGTAAAAATTTTGGCTTTTATGCTACATTTTAAAAAAATAAAAACAAAAATTTTCGTCAGAAAATATAATAAAAAAAATTAAGGGTGAACAACCCTTATGACTAATATGAAAAATAGATGTTGGCCGATTCTCAGACCTACTCAATATGCTCACAAAATTTCATCTAAATCGGTCCAGCCGTTTCGGAGGAGTTCTCTGTCTAACACCGCGACACGAGAATTTTATATATAAGATATATAACAAAGTAATACATACCTGACATAAAATTAATATTTTCAGTCACGTTTCATTTAATGATTAATAAAACGGAGAGTACATCTTTTATGTTATTTATTTATTTAGTAATATTTCGAGATAAAAGTAGACATTTCTTTTACATTTCAAAAATTTCACTTAATTTCATTAATAAGTATTTCGTTTATGATAAGTTAATAATTAATATTAAAAACTTAATTTAATATTGAACCAAAATGTTGGTTAGTCCTGTTGTAACAAAAATCGCTTTCTGCTTAAAATAATACTTTGAACGATTTTTAATTTAAAACGACCACAATGAAACACTATAAAATTATAATTGAAAACTGTGAAATAATACGTAATAATAATTATTTTGGATATTTTTTATCATTTCAGTGTTAGTATGAAGTGACAAGGATCTAGGTGATTATAAACAATGTGGCGTTCCGATCTTAAGATTTCTAGTTTTCTTATGGGAACTAAAATCGCAACGCTATCTGATATATAATGTTACGTAGATTGAAATGGAACGGCCGATAAACTTATAACACGAACATACACATACATACACATACATACACACACATACATACATACTTGCAATGATTTTCGTATAAAATTATC